AAATCCTTCATTTAAGAGAATAAAATAAATTTCAGCAAAGTCCTTTGCAGCTGCTCATTTATATGTACATAAGTATGCATGTATGTACGTATGAGTTCATACATACATACCATATATTTTTGTATACCTGCCATAGCACAATAATTGTATTGTAAACAACCCTAATAATTTTGGCGCGCAGGACCGTGACACGGGAGCAAAAATCTCTTATCTTTTACATGCCCAACAAGTAGTATATACATAAATACATATGTAAATGGGTATATAGATTGTGACCTTCCAGAATGCCACACTAGGAGCTTTGTCTGGAGGTTAACTTGATTACTCCTACTTCGTTCAGGTCGTTGCACGAGAACGTATATACTGTGTATGTACATATATGTATGTATGTAAATACATTCATATATTATGCATACATATATTATATATACGCAAAAAATCAATATCATTTATTTTGAGAAAGATAGAGAAATGATAAGTTGAATATTTCAATCAGGATTTCATAATAGACAGAAAGAATGCATGCAAGTGAGCTTTTAGGCGCATTTCTAAGCGACTAGTACATTTCTCGTTTTTTTTTTACGAAATTATATTTTTTTATTGATTGTATTATTTTACAATGAATACATAATACAACAATTATGTTCATACATATACACATATGTACATATATGTGTACTCAAATGTATTAGATAGTTAGGAAAACGCATCCATTTTTTTTTATTGGTTTACATTTGGAAGAATATCTCAACCACCAAATTGGGTTGCATTTGATCGATTATTTCCTTTTTATGGGATGTAAACTTTTCGATCCATTTGCAAATTATACTCACATACATATGTATGTTTTAATATGGTGGGCCGGCTCCATTCATTAAACAAGGGAAATAATAGAGCACTTCATTTTTACAGACAATATTAAGGTTATATTGCCTTCTACTGATAAGAAAATATTTACCAAAAAATAATAACGTGATAAAAATCATAAACATACATTTATAGACTGTAGAACTTGGATGCACATTAAATTGCTAAAAAGAACTTAGTTTGAATATTTTATTTCCTGTTTTTTTTACCTACTTACCTACGCATATCTTTATCATTCTTTGCACTGAAACTTGTTATGTGTATGACATGGGCATCCGATAAGAAAGGATACTCGAAATACTCCCACAAGAGAATGAATAAGGGACAACTTATTGTTTGTTGGCAATGAACTTTTTTTTACTATTTAAACCATTTTTGATCAAATTTATTAAAAATATTGTTTTTTTTCTTCGATTTGATTAATATTTGAAACATATGAAGGTTTTTTGCCTAGAGTAACATATAAATATTTTATCTTTTAAAAGAACTGAACGTAAAATCAATAGATGAAAAAATAATATTTTTATTAAATTTAACATAAAAATTTCAGACATGTTAATATAAAAAAGGAATAAATAATTAAAGCAAAAACGAATTAAAATCTAATTAAAACAATTTTTGATTTCCGTTTGAGCAAAATCGCGACCAGAAGCTAGTACGCTTAAGTACGGAAGCACAGGGCATAAATTTATGCAATAATTTGGTATTTGAAATCTCATTTTTAATTTTTTGTCATCTTTTACTTTAGTATAACCATCGTAATGATCAGAAAGATTAAATGTGAAGGGTCCTAAAACTATTCGATATCGTTCCTATTGATCTGTATTTCAATTCAAATTGTTATTCATTGCATATAAGCGGAATAGACGACTGTTGTGATGCTGATCTATGAATTTAGGTACAAACTATGCACTCATTGGCAACACATCAAAGTTGTACCTGCTTTGTCATTAACCATATTATTAACGTGTTGGCGTAACCTTCTCCTTGGATACTACTGCACACATAAATAAAAATTATAGTGAAGTCTGGATATCATAGCTAACTGATGAAGGGGTTGGTCGTTATATGCAAGTTGTCCACTTTATTCAGGCTAAAATGTCACCAATACCTAATCATAAATGGTTTAGCGCAAACATTTTACCATGATTCCACTGTTTCAATGGTTTGTTACATATGTAAAAACATACAGTGATGAACTAAAGTATTGACACAAGAAAGTTTAACTTTAACCACTTTTTGACCTTCTTTGTAGTATAACAAAATATTCAATATATAATATTCATACAAACAACCAGGCCTTGTAGTTTACTTAACACTTATATCAAAAATTATTATATAGCATGGGCAAAGTTGAGCCTGACAATCCTGCCTATACATTTTTCAGTCAATTATCGCCTGAAAGTGTAGAAAATTCCAACACAACTCACTAACCAAGCTGTTAAGAAAATAGCGGCTAAATTAGCGGACTTAATAGTTGTTGGTTAATAATGAATTGAATAATACAACAATAAATTATAAGGCTGCTGTTGACGCAGTGCTAGAACACTCGCCTGTTAAGTCAGGAACCGTTAGTTCGATCTCTGCCATAAGAAGTCTGATGAGGAGATGTGGTGATCACCGAAACAGCTGTCACTTCTAGCATTTTTCTTTATTGTATAACAAAACTATTAAATTCATACAATCAACTAGGCCGAGGTAGTTTACTTAATACAATACTTATATCGAAAATATTTTTAATTCAGAGAGACACATTTTCAGCTCTTTTCAATTCAATTCATTTTATTATTTTTATGTTAAATTAATTCCATTTATAAGTACTAATTTTCACCAAACAAAAGTTTTGGCACACCAAAATTTGACTGGGCTATTTCGCTAAAATTAGATTGATCTCAAAATGCCATTATGTTTATATTAGCAATTTTTTTTTTTTTTTTTTTTTTTTTTTTTTTTTTTTTCAAAAATCAAACCGCAAACATCGTAGTGCTTTTAATTATACTGGACGACTTTGCGTAATTTTCAGAAAAATTCGTCAAAAATGAGTTAGTATACGAGTTAGAGCAATGCTGGCCAAGCGACAAAATTCAGTGGCCAACGAAAGAGACTTTAATATTTTTCAAATAATGATTTTAATTTTTTCCAAAAAACGATTTAAAATATTAACCGAAACGATTTCATCTTGACAATAATCCAGTTGAAACCAAATTAATGAAAAGGATTTTACTTTCTTCCAAGTGTTGGATACAAATATAATGAATAATTTGAGCTAGATTACAACACGAACATTTTCATTTAATATATTGATATTTTGATTAACGCGTTCGTTACCCGATTTCGAGTAATCATTTTGTTTGCGATTCTTTTTTTTGCATGTGGATAATTGTTTTTTCATTGAACAAGCATTAATTACAGTAGTTGACTTTTAAAATCTAGTTTGGAATATATATTTATTTTATTAATTTGATTTATTTATCAAAGAGATTACAATATCTATTACTCGCTATCTTCAGTTTGTTTCACCCGCGCCCATAAGCAAGGTTTTCCCCTTTTTGGTGAATTTAGAGCTACATACAATATTTTTTTTTGCACAGATTCTTCATGTACATACATATAACTTACTGCCTTAATATGCGAGACACATAGATAACGCAGCAAATAAAGCTCCGAGAGAGGCAATCTACTATCTAAAAGAGGGGAGTCATAAATATGCATATGTATATACTGGCATATTTATTGAGAATAAAAGCGCTCACGAGTATGCGAAAAGAGCGGCCGCTGAGAGCTTAAATGTTAACATCAACCAAATAACAAAATAGCAAATTAAAAACAAAAAAATAAAACAGAAAACTGTTATATCCGTTTCTTCTAACCCATTGGTACTAAATTAACAGAATCATGCATATCTGTATTCATTTAAATATTTTTTTATCGGCTATCAGCCGACGTGGTTGCTGGAAGAACACTTATGTATGTACATATATTGTGTGGATTATCTACGCCTATAATAAATGGGATAATAATAACAAAAATTGGTTAAATTGTGACATTTTTCGTAATTTTGCATAAAAAGAAAAATAAAAGCAATCGTTGCGGACTTTGATGCAGAATTCATAATTTTAGTTTGTTATATTGTTAGCTAAATAAAACGGAAACACTCCAATGTGCCTTTTAATGTATTTACATATGTATATACATACTTGCATACATATGTATGTATGCATCTCTCGACTCTCCTTTCAGTGTAATTAATTTAGCGTAACAATGGTAATCCGACAGTCATTATGTAAACATATGCCATTTTACAGAAACGGAGAAACTTGAAACCGAAAGTATTTCATTGAATTATTATGGAATGATACATTTAATCAATTCATCATGCATATGTACATATGTACTTATATGAGCATTTTCGACAATCCTAAGCAAAACCGAATTACCGGTAATTTTCTGTTTAATTTTGCTTTCATTTCGGTGAACAAATTATATGTAATCTCCATACTAATGAATATAACATAAATATGTACAAGCAGTCTATGTAAGCATGCAAACATGAGAATATTTCAATGCTCTGTTCGAAACCCAACAGTTCTCTCTGCTTCATGGTGAATATGCAAATTGTGCAAAACAAAAAACCGGCCGGCAGAAACTTAAATTCACGGACAAAACACCAAAAAGAAATTAAACAAAAACAAAATAGAATTTGTGAAACGATCACAACTTCTCACGATGCTGTCACAAACAGAAACTTTAGAACAGCGGAGAACCAACATGTGCTTACTCAAAACGAATAGTACGTGAAATGGGAGCAAGCAGAACGGGGAGTAAACAATCGATAATTGTATACTACTAAGTGCAGCGCTGCCCTCCGCAGCTGAATACACAGAGCAGAGTGTCGTATAAAATGTGAATGGCGCAAAATAACAGACTTGAAAAGTCGACAGCAATAACTCCAAGAAACAACTAAATAACGGACTAACATAACAAAACGGGTGAATGCAAACAAATAACATAAGGTAGAATAGCAAAAAATCTGTTTTAAGTGAACTTGCGGCAACGATTAAAGCCAGCAAATAATAAGAAAAGAATATCCATACTATTTAATTATATCTTTACATAAGTTTGGATATACTTACAGCGTATTTATTGAGGATTGCATCGTGGAAACCACTTGAGTAATCTTCCAGCTCGAACATTTTCTTCAACTTTTATTAGCATTCACTTTCAGGATATCTAAATTGATTCCCAAATTCATATACTGTTCCTTGCAAACAAACGTTTAACGGAATAACATGCAAGGCGGGACATATATGTATGTATGTACATATGGTGGAATTGATGTTAAACAAAAGCCACATTCACACTTCTCCCACTTAGAAACGAGCTCGGCTGTAAAATTGTTTTACTACGTAAAATTAATCACATTGCTTTTCGCACTCTTTCGCATATTGCTTATGTGTACATATTATGCCAATTTGATTTTCTTTTATTTCTTTGTATTACCCGACTTTTAATCACAGTTTGCATACTTTGTTCTCGTTCATCTAAATTTCTATATTTTTACATTTAAAATATGGGCATAGTTTAGTTTTTTTTTGCCACTTCTTCAAAATTCACAAAAATCTTTCTAATCTTTACGATTGAGCAAAATATAATAATATGCGAGGGGCACATACAAATAAATATTTTCATATGTCATATATATATGTAGCCGTACATTTTGTCCGCTTTCAAAAAATAAGCGGGCTAGTGTTCTTCCGTTTCTTTCCTTCTTCACTAAACATTTGTCTCACACATTCTTGTTCCAAATTCGCAGCCGGCCGGTCAAGCAGTCTCCAATCCGAAATGCAATCGTTGTAAAAATATATCCAAACGTAACGAATAATTTGCAGAAAAGCGCGCACTTCTTCACTGAGCGCACAAAGTCAACTGAGAGCACCGGTGAGAAAAAATTTCTTACTAACCGGCAGCGCTGCAAGCAGAGTAGTAGCAGCTAATCAGCGTAACGCAAATTCAAGAGAGAAAAGAGAGCACGCATGAGAACTGAAATGAATGCCTGTTTTTTTGAAATTAACGTTTACCATTCGTTCTTGATCCACTTTATTTGCAAATTCAGTGGTAGCCACATTTTTAAAATATTTGTTTGTATAACTTTTAATTGGAATTTAGATCATACAAAAGTACTAGTGAAACTAGTAAAACAAAATTAGAAAAACTCAAGGTTGGCTCAAATGCTACGTAACAGTCACGTCTCTAGGGGGAGGAGGTAAAAGAAAAGCTACTTTAAGTAAGATTATGGAAGGAAAGGGTCACGGAAGCCTAATACATGAAAAACTAAGCAAGTCTCACAATATTTTATCTTTTTGGGGTCCGGCATCACCAGCAAAAGAGAACATTTTCAACAATTTCCCCTGTCAAACACAAGAATTCGAAATTGCGCTATAAATAGCTTTTAACCCTTAACATCTGCAGGCCTTAGTTTATGAATTTTCAGCATAAGTGGCTTAGTACATACGTATGTATGAGTACATATACAGCAATGGACAATGAAGTAAAGGTCGTTTACTTGTTTTTTTTAGCAATGTATTTTGGTTCAAATATTTTGTTAGATTTTTTAACGATCTTATTCAAATTGATTTTTTGAATTCTGAAACTATTTTCCTTCTCTTTATCACGTTGAATATTCTTATATTACACAAAATAAAAAAAAGAATAGAAGAGAATTTTTCTTTGTTAACCATTGTAGCACTGACTATGGTAGAGACATATACAGATGTTTGTCAGCGACTTTTAACCAAATTTCAGAAAACTTTAGGTTCATACGATTGTTGCAAAAACATCATCCGGCGCACCGAGCGGGTCTGCAACATCCCAGTGGCTAACATTGCTTATTGTTATATAATTCGGAAGAGCAGGGTTCGAGTCTCGGTTGGCACAACATCCAAAATGAATGAAAATTTCAAATTGAAGTCGCCTCTTTGCAGGGAATGGCAGCTTTCCGAGTGTATTCCCGATGCGAAACAAAAGCTCCTCATAAAAATCCATCGGTCATTAGGAAAAACATCAAGACGCAAGCCAAAATTGGAAGAGTTCGGCAGAAAATTGTTCCAGCGGTTACAAAGCGACAATTTCATATATATCTTATATAGTATTTGTAGACATGATAATTAAAGCTTGATGTACTTTTATCGTGGAAAAATACTTTTAGAAAATAGGAAATAATTTTTATTGATTAATAATTATAATAATAATATGTTTGATACAATTAACATTAAAATTAAAGAAATGTAGGCAATCTCAAGAGCCATGCAGAAATGGGTGAAAAATAATGAAAATAATTTGTAAATGTAAATCCTCTCAGAAATTAAAAGTAATTACGTATATACTGGCGTTCTTTTCGTTTCAACATCTCATGTGATGCTTCTCTTGGCACACTTTTCCGAAATAGTGTTGAATTTTTAAAATTCATAGCATTGACGGTCGCAAAACTAGCACCTGCTCCACAGGTACTGCTTCCTTGCAATTTCCGTATTTTGCTATGATTGACTGAAGGCAAGGGCTCTTCCAAAAATACTCCTGATTGAGACCATTGCGGTTTAGGTAGCACGCGTTGAGGATCACTGATATTGTATTTACGTTTTAATCGATTAGATGCTAGCGATTCCGGTACATTGTCCTGACCAGCAGAAAGGATATGTTTTACCTTGAAACCAATAGTACGTGGAGTAATTGGGCTTTCACGAAAGCCCCCAGTTTTCATTTTTTTCTTAGGTGTAATTGGTTCTTCCAAAACTGTACCAGAAGGTAATTCAAATTTGTTTAATATGGCACGCTTCTTCTTTGGCGGACTAAGTATTTCTTCTACGATTTCACCGGAGGCACAATTCATGCGATGTACTAATGGTGAACTGCTTTCTTTGTTATCTAAGTTAAATGAAAATAAGTATATATAATTGTAAATATGTAATAAATAAATGTTTCAAATTAACTTACCCAATTTTATTCCATCTTGCGACTCAGAATTTGAAAGAGATTCCAATAACTGCATAGGTAGACGTTTTTCAGCATACTGTTCTTCACTCAGCTAAAGTAAAATTGTAAAATAATATAAAAAACTGAAATAGTTATAGCTGATAACACTGTATACTAACCTGTTGTAAAAGTTTTCCTTTTTTATTTTTCGAAGCTTCTTTCATTAAGATTTGTGCAGAAGCCTTCAAAGCTTGCTCCAGTGCCTGTGATGTTTTTTCTAAAAAAAAAGTTTTTTAGATAAGTAGAGCACATTGATGGTTATGTAAGCATATGCAATAATTGTGCGTAATCATACCTTGGGAATGTTTGTTATTATTTTTATTATTAGCCCATTCTTCCTCCGATCCCGATGAAAGCTTAGATTTCTTCCTAGATTTTACTTGTACCACCGAACTCTACAAGGAAGTTATGTTATATTTAGTAGAAACTTATAAAAAGCGTACAACTACCTTTTTGTAATTTTGCTTCGATTCTAATTTAGCACGATTTGCTGCATCTATAATTTCATCACATCGATTTAAAATCTGGCTATAATCTGTCTTCTTCTTTTTAATAGCTTTAAGGTTTTGAGGTGTAGAACTATTTTTTATTTTATTTTCAACTTCATTGTTGGATAGGTCTAAAGCGCTATTATCCAATGAAGTAGTTACCCCAGTTTGTATTGGCCCACAGAACGATTTGGATAAGCGCGTTTTCGTAGTACTATGTGCTTCATTTGTTATTTTATTATGGGCGTCTTCAGTCTCCAATTGGGAAGAAGACGACTCTTTACTGGAACAAGATTGTGAACAGTTCTGATTTGTTTCTTTGTTGTAAGCATTTTCCAAAGTATCCGGATCTCCGCTATTGGTAAAACCAATTGGATCATTTTGAAAAGTCTCACTTGTACTTTTAACTTTTTTTGCTTTGCTTAACTCTTGTTTCCGATCTTCAATGGTTTCAATTAGAGATTGAGACGGATTAAAATCTTCTGTTGGCATAGATTGGATACTGTTACGCTTTGATTTCTTACAATGTGGAAACTCGCCTATATCTCCGACATTGAATGAAACCATTGATTTTCGTTTTTTATACGCAGATGAAATTGTTCTATTGGTTAAATTTATATTTTCGAATTCATCCGTAGATTCTCGGTCTGTTGCAGAAGAATCAGTACTAGAGTCACTATCTCTATTTCTAGTGACTACTGGATAAGAAGTTTCTGGTTTGATAACATTAACACTAATTGTAAATGAGCTGTGGCGTTTACGTTCTTTACCAATTTTTACATAAGTGCGTTTTTGTTTTACTGGACAGAAAGATACGCTTAAACCGGAGCTTTTAACTTTTGGTTCGTAATTTTCATCAGAAAGCTCTTTCGCTGTTTCTTCATGGTTAGACTCATTAGAGGATTCTGCTTCTAATATCTGTTTATCAACCTCTTGGGTTTCCGGTATTTCTATATCCTCTTCTTCAATGTATTTCTCAGCGTTTGATTCATGTTCAGAGTTGTTAGAATTATTTGAAGCATTACTTCTTTCCATATTATTTTGTTTTCTTTCAGTTTCTTCCATATGCCGCTCATGACTTAAAACCTCTTCTTTCTCTATTGCAGACATATCGAACATTTGTTCGTTTGTTATATTTCTTGAAGAGGATAATTCATTGCTGTTACCACTATATTCTGGATTTGTACATTCAGATGCAGTTTTGGTAATGTTGCCTAGTTCATTACTGTCCGCACTTATTTTTTGTTTGGAGTTATTACTGTTATTTGCTTGCTCTACGTCATCAGCATTTGCAAAATTTGAAACATTCAACTCATCCAGATTGTTGTCGCTGTCAATATCGCTTTTATGACTTTCAGAAATTTTATTTTCATCGCTGCCAAATTCCTGATTTGCAATAATATTGTTTTCTTCATTATCTTTATTGTGGTCATTTACTTTTTCGGATATTTCATTGGTGATAACTTCGTCATCCGTAGATTCATCAATCATCTTGCTAACGTTTAAATCGAGCGGCTTGTCTGATTTGTAAATACTTTCATCACTATTTAATGTTGTTTTTCTGGTGTCCGTTGGTTCCCCAACATCACTATCACTCGTCGATAATATACGATTTTTCCTCTTCGTGTTACTTAATCTCTTTTTCTTTTTTGAATTACTATTGGCGGTTTCGTCTTTATTTTCATCAGAGAATTGTACATCAGCTTCACTTCCACTAGTCGACGAAATTCGGCTTTTTCTTGTAGGTTTTGTTGTGTTCTGATAATTATCTTCTAATGGCTCATTTGTATCAGAATATTCAATAGCCGAGTCTTCAGAGTCAGACGTAATAAATGAAGCATTTTCTTCATCATCATTATCATCATCTTCGTTGATATTATCTGAAAGGGTGTCTTCGCTGCCAATTGATTCACCTTCGTCTATAATCTCATTTTCCAACATTTCTTTTCGCTCTTCATCATCCATTGAATCTCCACTTTCATAATTAGGACCTGCATCAATTGCCTCATCATCAACAAACTCCAATTTTTGGAATGTTTCATAATCATCTTCGTTCTCTTCTTCATCATTTTCATTTTCCAAAGTTGACGTGTTCTTTTGCTCAATTGGATTTTTTGACATATCGGTTAATAGTTCATCCTTTTGAGCCTCCAAAAAGGAAACAGCAATTGTGTCAATTTTTCCATTAGATGTTGCGTTTCCACTTACATTATGTGTCCAAGATTTTGAAAATAATTCTTCTTTTTCCTCATTTTTATTTGTATTATCTGCAAGGTCCACTTCTGTGACGTTTTTATTGTCTATTTCATGGAGAATATTTTCCTCGGATTTGTCTTTCTTTGTAAGGAACGAATCATGTAATCTTTGTGGTGATTGTATCGGCGATTTTTCAGAAGAATTTCCTATAATTTCTTTTTGTTTGTTACTTTGATCAGGTTTTGAAGGCGATACTGAGTCTATCATTGGAGTAGAACTTTGCAAGTTTGTTAAAAGTTTCTGTTTATGTGGGGTGATATCTTTTTTCATTTCTTCTACATCTACATCGTCAGGAAAACTATTTTCTTCAGCATTATCGTTTGTGGCATCATGAAACTCGACAGATTCTTTTGATTGATTGCCTTTTTCTGAATGTACTGCGAATTCTTCCAAATGTGCACTGGCATCTTTAAAACTGTTGACAGATTCTTTATCACTTTGAAATGATTTATCTTCTATTTCATTTGATAAATCATTTGTAAGATAACTTTCACTCTTGATCGAAGCTGGAGTTTTAGGATAAGAATGCTTAATTATATCGTCATCTGTATCAACATCATTAAAAGTAACAGATTTTGAGTTTGGTGAGTTCATGGCTGCAACATCACCACAATATTTTGCCATAACCTTTGGTGAAAGCTTTTGTATCATTACAACGCTTTCGATAATTGGTTTCGAAGTAGATTTTTCAGGTGTTTTAATATCAAGACATACTTCACTCTCAGATTCTTCAGCAAAACGAAGTACACCAGTCGGTTCTTTTGTCGACATATTTAAAGAAACATTTGATTTCGTGTCTTCTAAATTTATATTTTCATTTTCATCTTTGTTGACTGTTTGTACGTTTGAATTTATATGTTCTTCAGCATTTTTGTTGTTATCACTCACAACACTGTCTTCGGACAAATCAATGGTTTCCATGGAAATACATCTACCTTTGGGTGAAAAGTTCTTTGCTTGTAACCGAGGTGAAGTTCTTGTTGGCGTTTTCAAGACCTTTTCCTCAGATTTTTGGTTGGAATTATTTGAACTTATCTCTTTTTCTTCTAGATTAATTACCTCAACATCCGAATCGCTTTCGTTCGAATTCTTACTACGCCTTGATTTCGGTCCGGGCTTATTCTTTTTATTAGTGGATGGACGTGGTGTTTTCTCTACATCAAATACCAATGGTGGACTAGATTCGCTTTCATCTGCAATACTTCTTGCATTTATTACCGATTTTTCATTTATGCTATTGGCTTTGGGTAATGAATTATCTATTTGAAGTGTTTTTGGAGTCTGTGTATCATTTACGCATACACTGCTTCTTCGAGTATTACGTTTGGCAGGAGTACGTTCGGCATCAATTTCTTCACATATGGTTGATTTTCTTGGTCTTCCAACAGATTTTGATGGTGTAGCATTGCCGGTAAGGGAATTGCGACGAGTTCCCCGTAAAGGTCGCGAAGGAGAACCTAAAATAAATACTTATTTCGAATTAATGTTTTAAATATTTTCCATTACATACTTGTCTCTGGTATAGCAGTTAGCTTAGTTAATTGAGGAGTCGATGGTCGGCTATTAGATTCGCTATCTACAGAGGCCAAACGTTTGCGCAAAGACCTTGTCACTATAAATATAAATAAAGTAAATCCAAGTTTAGAAACGCATTAATCATTTAATTTGGGTTTGGAAATCCTGATATTAAGTAAATCATGTATTCGGACATCGTCCCGTTACAAATAAACGGTATACAAATGTTAATTCCTTATGCAAAATTTTGAAAAACTTACCACGACCTCCAGTCGACACGTCTTCCAAACTCTCCATTTTGTTTGCTGCTTACAATTATTATTTCAACAAAAATGCGATACGTTCACAAATGAAGTTGACAATAAATTTCACATGTGGAAGCAATTTCATGAACTAATCGCGTTACACGCATTCTTCTTCTTATTTTTAATTTGACTTTTAAACGGTTTTTGAGTCACACAAGGTCGCAAAAATGGTATGAAAGCAGTCCTTGTTGCCACACTTTATTTTGTAAATGCTGAATATTGATGTAATAAATTGCTCAAATATATTTAAGAATGTGTATATGGACTGTCGTTTCACGCGCTTATCCAAGCAATTTTTGTTTTGGTACGAAATTTCGTTTCACCGTCATAATTGCTCCGCTGTGCTACGAAGATTACGAGAAATTTGAAGGAAGGTGAACTCCCTCTGTGAAACGCTAATATTCACCTCACCAAAATTTTTCAAATTGGATCAGTTCTTTTCCCTTCTAAATTATTAATATACGTTCTTTGCCAGCTCAAATTTTCGCTCTCTCGTTACAAACTTTTACTGAGTTTTCGACTCAACGAATACGATCCAGTAAAGTTTTGTAAAAATTGTTACTGTCCATCTTATCAACGAACAAAACTTATATGATACCAAACAGCTGTTTTTCCTTCTTCCTAGTTTTTACGGGTTAAAAATTTTCCCAGCACGAATTAGCCACTTTCTCTCCGAAATAAACGTCAAAATTGCGCTCTCTCGTTACTAATTCTACTGGCTGTTTGTTTATATGGTTCATTTAAACAATATACGTATTTGAAATATTTATATTCAAGACAACGTTAGGGAATGCCTCAAATAAATTTTGGTGTTATATATTTTTGTTTCTTGCTAAGCTGGGTGTATTCAGATTGTGGTTGCAATAAAGATTTAAATAGAAAATACGAAGAATTTGGCACTATATCCACAAGTAGCAATGAAGTTCCGGTTTGCAAGCGAGACAAACAAAATAATTTACATTATCGTAATTATTACCCAGAAGACCCGACAATGTCGTTTATACCCGGTGGTAGTTACCTAATTGGAACCGACGAGCCACATTTCCAGAGTGATGGTGAAGCTCCTGAACGTCTTGCCAAAGTGTCTGACTTTTATATAGATAAATATGAGGTATCTAACGCTAAATTTTACGATTTTGTTAAGAAAACCAATTATACAACTGAGGCGGAAATTTACGGAGATAGTTTTTTATTTAAAACTCTGCTTACATCAGAAATGCAGAAGGAGTACGAAGATTTTCGCGTGGTCAGTGCACCTTGGTGGTTCAAGGTAAAGGGAATTTCCTGGCAGAATCCACACGGCTTACATAGCAGTATAAAGGGTTAGTAGTATAAAATAAAAGAGTTTAATTAATGCTAATATTAAATGATTAAACATATTTATTTATAAGACTCAATTGTAATTCAGATACTAATGTGAACGAAGCGAGAGCAATTGCTGACTTGAAATTTTTTTATATTTATTTTAAAGCGTTAATCAATTTAAAGAATGCTCAAAAATGGTTGAAAAAAAGTTTCAATATCTACTTGATAGTGAAATACTAATAAGTATGTATGTTTATAATTAAGACTTCCTTTTCTAAAGATTTCTGGGACCATCCTGTAGTTCATGTATCTTGGAATGATGCTGTTGCGTATTGTCTGTGGGCAGGAAAGCGATTGCCATCAGAGGCAGAGTGGGAAGTGGCATGTCGCGGTGGAAAGAAACGCAAACTTTTCCCCTGGGGAAACAAGTTGAAACCTCGTGGAAAACATTGGTCTGCACAAAAAAAAACTTTCTTTTTTAATATTTAACTATTAAACCAATACTTTTTATTTAAAGGTTAAATATTTGGCAAGGTGACTTTCCAGACGGTAACACAGCTGAAGATGGTTATGGTATAACCAGTCCCGTAAATAAATTTAGGCAAAACGATTACGATATTTATAATATTGTTGGTAATGTTTGGGAATGGACACATGATGTTTGGAAAAGGAACGACGAAAGTACAAATGCAGAACATGTAAAAAAAGGTGGTTCATATCTGTGTCACAAATCTTATTGCTATCGTTATCGATGTGCTGCCCGCTCACAAAACACTGCAGACAGCTCATCAGGAAATTTGGGTTTTCGCTGCGCAAAAGATTCATAAGAGCTTCATAACTAGTTAATTAAACATACATCATATATATTTAAATAAAAGTTTACATCATATTTTGCTTTGCTAATTCTGGATTAAATTGACTATTATATTTTTGGACTATACGTGCAGGAGGAATTTTAGCGCTATGCAAATCTTGTTTGGAATTCATTGGTGCAAGAAGTGCTTCTTGTCGTAAGCGTTCAGAAGTTTCTCGATCAAGGCGTTCTTTACGAAGCTTTAACAATTTTTCTTGCTTAAGCCTTTGCAGCTCCTCTGTGTCACTTTCATAATCAAAATATTTTTGCTTCTTACAATTTTCTTTTTTGTTTTGTTTATGCTTTTTATGTTTTTTTCGTTTTTTGTGCCTTGCTGATATAGAAGAAGGATCCTCGTTATGCGACTTCTTTTTTTTCCTTTGAGGTGGGGAGGTGCAGGATGCTGTTGTTTCTTCCTCATGAGCGCGTTTAGATGAGTTGTCTTTAATAGTTTTGGAGTCAATAGCAGGCAATAAAGCATTAATGAGTGTTAAAGGATCTTGCGAGTGCTTATTTTTTAAATCCTTTTCGTGAACTATTCTATCCCCTATTTCTTCTCTTATTGGTGCCTTTTCATACCAACTCTGAAGTTTTAACGCTTCATTAGTGTCTTGGCCTAGATATGTCAAATAACCGATCTGCTTTTCATATTTTTCTTGCTCTTCTTTTTTTTCCTGTTCCAGAGCTTTATTGGTTTTTTTAATGTGTGTCTTATAATCAGAAAACAAATCAACATTTTGCTGATTGCCGCTTTGTGTTTCTTTGACTACGGATAACTCATTTTCATGGTCAGTGGACGTGGTGTTCGAGGCTCCAGATTTTCTCCTTAAAAAGTTAATACGAGCTTCGCTTTCCTATAATAACACTATACACGTATTTCATCAATCAAATGCCATAGAAAGATTTTTTCATACCGCTAGCAACAGCTTTTCTTGTCGTTTTTGTTCCAATTCTTTCGCTTCAGCCTCATCCCGGCGGACGCGAGCAATATTGTCCTTAGTTCGGACGTGCCATCTGATAAATGAATAATATTTAACCACCGTAAATCAATAACAAAGAATCTACTCACCGTTTTTTTGGAAGTATATTCATTTTAAAGATTAAATAGAATTTATTCGCGATAACTTTGATTTAATATTTATTCTTCTATTTATTACCGTTCATATTAACATCTCTATACCGTAGATAAACATTCACAACCATAAATACACATTCTGTGTCTTATATCAAACAAGGTTGTAAGGTTGTAAGATTTCTTCTTCTGAAGTGGCCCTTTCGTCAAGGCGAATTCAATTTTAGGTGAACGTAATGCGAAAGAACGTATATGAATATACGTTCTTTGGTAATGCGCTGTAACTATTTTACTATATACAACTCGATGATTTTTCGAATCCTCCGAGTATGATCAATGGATTGTTATATAAAAGGCCAAATTTGATTTACAATTTCTTATTTGTTAAGAACTCAAAGAGGGTTTATTTATGTATGTTTACAATTTTCCAAATCTTCTATTTTCACTTTGCACCACTGCTGTGATAAACGGGCTTACTGAGTAAGTGAATAACGTCGCTTTGGCCGTCGCCTTATATTCCTCACCCATTTTTCGTACTCAGTTCTGGAGCTGGCAGCATTTGGTTTATATTATTGGCCGTACCAAAGATTGCACCTTTCGTCTCTTTCGTTGTAAGTTGTTAACCCCATAGCCTACCTTTCAGCAACTTTCAGGGACCTACCGCCGTAGAGTAAATTCAATCTTCAAACCTTCGGAGTTCATTGCCTTATCATACTCGCCCTTCATTTTGCCACTCAAAAACATGTTTCCCTCAGAGCTCTTCCTCCAGGACGCTAGACACTTCCATCCAAATTCATCGCTCATCACCATTTACGCCAAGCTTTAAATCACTAGGCCCAGTACGGGCGGATATCTCATGGAACCGAGAGGCATGTTGATATCACAACCATTCTAATGTTTTTCCACTTGATGAATCGCTCTTCCAGGTTGAATCATTTTACCATACCATTCGATTGGGAATGCAGAGCTACCTTTCGGATTTTTCCAATACCAAGTTTCTGGCACGTCTCTTGGAATACCGCCGATTCCTAATTCTTTCTTTCGTTGGAGTGTATGTTTGTCATCGAGAACAGAACCTTCTAAAAATGAATGCGAGAAATTGTTAGATATATTGAAGCGGCTTTTAACTCTTCAACATACTCAATTGAATTTGGAACTAGGTATGGACCACATTGGTTTAGGGTAAAGCGGGGCAAATTTACAAGAAAACAAACCATAATTAGTAAACTGTGATATATTAAACTTTGTGCCGGACAACAAATCTTAGGACAATTATTTATCACAACTCAAACATTGGTTTGGATCTCGGAAATCATCGAGGATATTTAGAAATATCGTTACAATGACTAAGTCTGGTACTGACAGTTAACTGCAGTCCCAAGTGAGCGCGGAAACTTTGCTGTTACTTTGAGAAAATATAATAATATATGTATATATAATTGGCACTTTGTATACCTACAGTTTACTCTAAGCCGCAATCGGAGGCCTTGTCATTCCCCCTTAGGGGCGGCCGCAATTAGAAAATTTCTCTTTTTTTTTTGGACCTTAGGACAGCACCTGGATTTGAACCCGAGTCTTCCGAATGGCAGAACGTAATGCTTACCACTCAGCTACCGCGGCCGCTTTCCTGTAAAACAAGCGTTCGATCACTTTTCTTGATCACAAACTTATATTTCGGATCAGCAAGGCCAATATTATTATATGATATTTGGCAAGGCAGTGTAGCTATTGTAAGCGGACATTTATAACTCGTGAGTGCTCAAAAGTCTGATATGGCGTTTCGGCTTTACATTTTTTGAAAGAATAAGAAAATTTTAATTTTAATTGTACCTAACTCTGGCACCTTTGAGTTGTATTATTTTTTACGATGACAGTTCCTCGTTCTCGTTTCTCATTCTCTGGTGGAAATTAATAAGAAAAGTCGACGAAGTGCAAAAAACGAGAAAAGTTTGTAAAAAAATAATTTTCAACTGGTAAAAGTTTCTTAAACTTGTGAAATTGTTGTCAAAATCGGCAGTATCCGTAAAAGGGAGAATATATCCAATGATATTATGGCCGCGGAGCAACGAGTATTGAAACAGGATGGCTATTTGGATGTGGGGAACGTCGAAGAATCGCGTAATATCGCCTACCATCCGCACTTGAATGTAATTCTTGTATTTGACTCCAGCAATCAAGTGAAAATTCTCGATGTACATTCAGGAGTTATATTACAGACATATAATTTGGGCGGAAACGGTATGTTATATTGCATTTTATGAATCGCCGGGTAATAGAGAAAAAAGTGATCAGGTTTGAGGACCTTTACAAGTGCATTTGTATCTTTCGGAACTATTAAAATGAAGGGCTGGGCGCCCCCCTGCGTAAGAACACATTAGTTTTACATCCATAGTGCCGCAGTGTTAGTGCGCAGTTAGAATGCAAAGTTGTTCCATCAGATTATCGACAGCTGTTAAAATATGGACAAAAAGTTGGTAGAATTTTTATATCCGTTAGCCGTTAGCATGCTGCAAACAAAATAATTTTTATTTTTTTTCATAACGGTTATTTTTAGGTAATATTTTAAGTTTTTTTTGAAAGGAATATTATATAGCAGTATTCCAACCAAATATTGGAGATAGCGAAGGAAAATAGGGTGACGATGATGAAGTATTGACTAACCAGTATTAAATACTCTAAAGTAATCTCGGTGATTCGATTATAACATATTTAATGTTTGTGTGAAAAAAAAATAATGTATACTTTTTACATAGACATCGATGGGAACGTGCAAGGAAAATATATGCCTCTTCAGGAGAAAGTGCTTGTGTGGGATGGACAAAATTTAGGTTTACGTGGTGACTACAATGGTGTTTTACTATTGGATACAATTTTACAACCACCAATTTTGCAAAATGATGATTTTATTAAATTAGAATTGCTGCTATCGGAGGCAATTATTTTTCAGACATGCCTAAAAGATCTCGAGCAAGAAGGATTGGAATGTCCTAGTGATGTTAGTAATGAGCTATTAGAAAAAATTAAAAATGCCCAAGCAAATGCCAAAAAAGGAATTAAAGCCCAGAGAGTAAGTATAATAAAATTATATAAAAAATTTTCTATAAATCTTTTTAAAATATTTTTTAATGTATCACAATTTTTAGTGGAACACAATATGTTTGGAAGTATCATATTCCAGCTTGAAATTAGTCGCAAACAATGTAGTTATCATGCTGAAGCGATTAGAACGCCACATTCCCGCACTAGCTATAGCATCAGCTATAAACGAACGACTCACTGATCTGCTTGCAGGCTCACGTATACCTGATTTAAGTTGGCATGGAAGCAACTTTCAGCGTGTCCTCATGCATTCAGAAGCTGTTCGCAGACAAACTTTTGAAAAATGGCCACATATGGATTACAAATGGGCATTACCAGATCAAATGGCACAAGCTGGCTTCTATCATCAGCCATCGTCGTCTGGAGAGGATAGAGCAATGTGCTTTACGTGTAGCGTTTGTTTAGTTTGTTGGGAAAAAACCGACGAACCGTGGAGTGAGCATGAACGACATTCTCCAATGTGCCCATTCGTTAAGGGCGAGTACACGCAAAATGTACCATTATCTGTGACATACGCGACAAATCCAGCAGTTCCAGCGCCGGGACTTGGTTTCGATGTTATATCAAATAGTGATTACTCGAACGTTTTATGCACCAGTTGTACACAGACAGGTGAGATTACTGTCTGGAGTATTGAACGTCATCTGAAAAAGATGCATTCATTCAACATTGCCACATTAATGAAAGATATCTGCGATGAGGGTTATAAGTGGGCACGCGTAACAGCTATTTGTGTATTACCAAATGCACGTGCACAATACAAAATAAACGCAATGACTGCAACTCAGACAGGTGGAGGTGGAGGTGGGAGTGGAAGCGGTGGCGGAGTTGTTGGCAACAACATTAGTAGCGTTGGTGCAATGCAATGTACTTCCACATCCACTTTACGTGCCGGAGTAGTGGGCTCAAAAATAGTACTAGGCATGAGCATTAGACAGAACACTGGTGAATACTTACTGCGTATGGTGGTGCTAAATATCGTTGAAAGTGATCGTGTTTACGAGAGTGCCGGTAGTTGTGCTGGTGCGGGATCCGGTAGTGGAAAAGCAAGTATTAATGGCAATAGCAGTATTGGTACAAGTAAAAATTCACAGTTCACAAGTGGAGGTAATAAACGCACATATTTAATATCTTTTTAATAATATAATTTATATTTCAATAAATTAGTCAGCGATAATTGTGGAGGAGGAGGCGATGGGAATAATAGCGAGAAGTTATGTGACAAATATGACCAACGTGATGATGAAAACAAAACGTTATCTTCGGTATTTGAGAAGTATGCGGATGGTTTTGACAGTAATGGGTTTGTATCAGAATTATTGGCTTTAAAGAAAAGTGATAATGTTGTTGGTGATAAATCTGGCACATCTGCACTAAACGAATTGCTAGAGAGTGAACTTATCAAAATTGATCAGCTCTGCGATTTGAGTGATATATCACAACTATTAGATAAATCTCATGATGGAGGAAACAGTAATGATATCGGGGTCGGAATAGGAGTCGGAAATGATGTTTCGTTAAATGCAAATGAAATTGAAATGGACTCCAATTATTTTAAAGAAAATTTACTAGCAGCAGCACAAGCCGCACAACAAAATAATGCCAATAATAATAATGGTCAAAAGAGCAGTATCAACGGAAACAGTAATGGTAATACAATCCTTCAAAAATTAACTGTAAGTGAGGATATCGATTGCGTGGTGGAAAGCTGTACGAGTGTACGACGAATGAACGCGATGGTGTCAGATAACGAAGAGTGCAGTGGCGCTGGCGGACACATTCCCAGTAATCGTCGTGAAATTATTGAAATTGCCGAAATATTACCAGTAAATGGCAAATGTAATCAATTACTAGTAAAATTGATGAAAACAAAAGCCCCTAATGAAACGGCCAGTAAAATGATAATGGCAAATATGGATATTGATTTGGAAGATGAAAGAATGGAAGGTGTGTAATGTTATTTTAATTTTTCTTCATACTCTTATAATTGTACCAAACATCCAATATTTCAGATCACTCAGATTTTAATTCAGAAACAGTAGCAGCGCAGCTATTGCTTTTTGATTACGTCGATTCAATGATATCAAACGAATACACTTTGGCAATAAATTTTAGTCGAGCAAAGTGTCCACAACAGTTGTGTATTTTGCCAAGCTTTCAGGCATCAGGTTTTGATCATAATAACTATTTAGATACTGGTGCGCTCTGTGTCGTTTGTGCGGATGGAAGCATGGAAATTTATTCATTAACGGATTTTCAACCCATCACAATTGTTGAAGAAGATGGTGAACATTTTGTTTCAGTTGCTTATTGCCGTAGCTTAGATCGTCTGTGCGGATGTACACGTAGTGGTTCGTTGATATTTTATTCTCTTAATGACACAGAAAACGAATCTGGAGATGAAATGTTAGAAATGGATGATGATTGCAGTGCGACGTTACCGAGTTCACTGACAACAATTCCAAGTGGTAGTAATTTCTCTAATATATGTGTGGGAAGTGATAGTACCGAATTGTCGACAACATCTGTCACAGTACCAGATGGGTTAGTCAGAAAAGTTGTGGGTACAACAGTATCCAAATTAACTAGATCAACATTAGCTAACGGTAGCGAATCAGTTGGTGGTGATACTTTATTGAATACACCTAATATTAAAGTAGATTGCAGTGGTCCTGGCTCCAGCAGTAATACTAATGGAAATTGTGTAATTAACAACAATAATTTCTCACAATCATCACCTTCGCCCTCAACCTCTTCTATCAATGCAAACAGCAGCTCGAATTTGCTGGCATACAAAACAAGCGATCTTTTGCTGGAAGATTTACGTTCTCTGTACGATCTAACTCAGTTCGACGATGTACTAGCCTTGTATACTGCAGAAGTGCCTAGTTGCTGGAATGATTTAGTGCAAGCTCAAAAACAACGCAAGCAACCGCAACATTTGCGTCATGGCGATGATACGCAATTCACGAAAACGTGGCGCCTACATAACGATGCGTAAGTAGGTTCTAAAGTTTTAGAATCCAAATAATTTATTTATTTAATTTTTCATATAGAACTACTTGGGATGAGCACATAATTGAATTGAATCTGGTGCAACCAGTTAGCTTGGGACATATTGATTTAAAGTTTTCACTTTATCAACAGTGTCATAATCCCGCTGCAATTCAAGTAACATTGCTGAAACAGAATACCAGCGGCTTTGGTTATCGTATGAAAGGTCCCCATCTCAATTATAAACAGTCTACCATGGATGACAATATTGATTTGTCTTTTAACAATTATGATGGTAAAAAGTAATGAAAAAATTCCGAAGCACTCGTAATTAATATAAATAACTATCTTAGGTACAAATGATAATCCTGTTTTGAGTGAAGAATATTTGCAAACACATAATGCTGAAATACTCGCGGGTCCCATTGAGTTGTCCTCATGCATTGATCTTTGCGACCAAGGTGGTACCGTTACACTAACGTCCCCAAAACTATTTAAGACACGTACTCGCAATTTTTTACTTCACATTAAAACTATGTCAGATCCAGCAAAGGAGGGTCAAAGTAAGACGCGTGGTAAGTACTTGTAAATCTGCTACGTTTTCGGATAACATTTAAAGCTTTGGAACCCAACAATTTACAAAATATGTTATTTATCTCTACTAATTCTTGCTTTCATTATAACTTCATTCATCTGACATCTGCTTCACCCGTCCTCTTCCTGTATCATCATCACATCACTGAAAAAATGCTTCTTTAAATCGTATAAAACAAATGATATGTAGTACCTGTCCGAAAAGGTGGAATTATGCGTTTACCGTTATCATCGTCATTTACCGGCAGCACAACACATAACTTTATGACAAACAATACCTCTAGCTCAAATACATCCGCCACCACCAGTTCTTTTCCGTCAAGCTCATCAAAATCACGTTTTGATTTTTACATTGGTATGCCATTATTAGTTTTGATGTTTGTTGAAATATTAAATAGCGGCATAAATGTAAATTTTAGCATATATCATCTCTTTTCAAAGCTTTACTTTTATGTATTATGTAGTATATACTATTAACTCAGTAAACTATTAAAATTGTGCATATTTTCTAATACTTACACAGGCTGTGATTGGTTGCACGAGATCTCTATCAACGTTCGGGGTGTTAAAACACAAAATCGTATTCCAAATGAACGCCTGCAGCGAATAGCTATGCTGGAGAGCAATATTTTACTTGACAATTTGTTTAGAATTTTAATTAAAGAAGAATCTTCAATATTAGAAAAGAATCTTGCTTTGGACATTCTTACGTGGATATGTTTTATTCGATTAAATCGCTTTCGTTCGCCAAAATCTGAACGCATCAAAGGACAAATCAATAAAACTACGGCTTCAACAAATACAGATTTGATGGCACAACAATTCGAATGTATTTGTCTTTCAGAGAAGTATCTTGAAAATATGTTGAGAAACTGTATCATACATAGCAATCGCACAATGGCACACAAATGTGTTAAACTCATTTTAATTTTAACTGAGTAAGTTTAGTAGCAATTCTGGATACCCTTACAGAATAAAAGAAAAGATTTAACACTTGCCAATTTTACATATTATTTGAAATATTTTTGTTTTTCATTATTATTTAGTGGCATCTGCAGTCTTCCCGTTGAGATACAGTCACATTCCACGCTTGACGTTGCCATTAAGGACGCTGTAGCAAATACATTTAACGAGTTACCACGTGCCAAATTTGCCAGCGTGGTGCGATGGTATGCAATGTTGGCTTGTGCAACTTCCACTTTGGAGTCACATAATGGTATATCTGAATTATGCGTCAAATTACTTACGGAAATTGCGAAAGAAATCGAAGTGCGCTGGGATCCTTATTGTTCTTTACTAAGCACAAGGTAACAACTCAATTATATATATAAAATAAATTAAATGTGATTTTGTTTCTTTAAATAAGATTTGGTCTTTATGGATTCCCATTCGAGCCTGAAATATTCGATTACGATCTGCCAAATATAAATAAAAGCAACGTAACACTGCCAACGTCTCTAATGAACATGATTCGTTCAAACGCTGGTCTTATGCAAGCAGCCGGTTTGGATATAAAGAAACTTTGTTCCATTGGTAAATTGAAGAAATTTATAACTGAAAGAGAATTCCCGTAATAAGATTAATATGTTATAGATGGTGTTGATTTTCGCACATTTCCACATTTGATTAAATGCAAGAGCGTTAGCAATCAATTGCGAGGCTTATTAGAGGTGGAACAATTGCATTACACATGTGCTTCGACGTCGGAGGCAACACGTATCGACAATATGGATACGGTTTCGGCCAGTAGTGCATCAAACATTAATATGGAAGAGTTGATAGTGGCGCCGATGGTAGACATGCCAAAAGAACAGGATGGCTACAATGTAAGTAAAAAAAATAATAAGTAAAAAATCTAAATGAGAAACGAATAAATAAACTTTTATGTTTTACTGATTTAAGGTCAATGATATTGTGTACAATGTGGACAAGCAAATGAAAGTAGTCAACAACAAGAAAGTGGAAAACGATGTAGTTGTAGCAGAAGTAATGAAGCCGAACGGAATATGTAGTAAGTACATTTTTCACAATAATTCGAATTTCCTGGTAAGGGAAAAATTTAAAGCCAGGGAAAACTAAAGCAAAAAATTGAAGAAAATTGGGAATAGAAGGAATATAACTGAATAATTTTAAAGAAGTAGTTTTCGAAAACTGATTATCTGACAACAAGCTCAAAACATCTAACTGAATTGGCGAATACGATAATTAACTTTTATCACTTTTAACATTTATTTATCATTTTGAGAGTCGTAATTAATTAAGAATAGCAATAAACAAGAATTTTCCACAACTAGGAGTAATCCGAAATTCTAATCTCACTTATTTTTTTGTTCATAAACTTCGTGCCATGAACTCATGAGTTGTAGCAAAAGTTTTTGCTCAACACTGTTATGTGATTCAATGCATTTAATTTTTATGTTATTTAAAAAATGTTCAGCTCATTTGTTAGTTATTAATTAATTATCCAAAAAGGACCGTGTTTGGATCCACTACAACTGTTTAACATTTAGTTAATTGAAGGCATAAATTTACAGACTCAGAATTAAATTTAATTTATAACTTAGCAGATTATGTCATTAAATTGGACAATTCAAGGTATACCTTTTGTCAGTGATGACGAGAAATCTTTTAGCTGTTGAATAAAAATAAATTAATTTTCTTACTATCTTATTTGAACACTAGCTTTTGATCCAACCAACGTCACAATTCTAAATGACAAGATTAAGTTCAACTGTATGCCTTTTTTGCCGAAATTCAAAGCCATCTGTCAGTATATAGAGTATTGCGACGAGAGTTTGCAAACTTCCTCTGCCAATAACAACAGCATCAACTCGAATTCAAGCGTTAGTCTAGCCGGCAACTCAGATCCGAAAATCAGTGAGGCTGGAGGTAAAGCTAAAACCATGTCAAAGGAAATTGCGTATGAAATTACACATCAAGAGGAAGAATTGCAACAAGAAATTAAGCAACAGCAAGAACAACAACAGCTTAATACACAAGTCTTGTCGTCGCAATCGTTGTCTGCTGCCCAACAACAACAACAACAGCAGCGCGTACAAGATAAGGGCAAATCTCAAACGTCCAACGCTACAGCTCCTGCTAGCGACAATTCGAATGCCAATGCCACAAACATTTTTGCTTGGCATAAATTACTGGCACCACCGCCAAAGCAAATGGTAGTTATTGATCGAATGCATTCTGGAGCACGTCGTTTTGTTGTGTTAGACTTCGGTTCTCCAATTTTGCTAACTGATTTGGTTATACCTGCATGTGATGAGTTAGCATCGTTACACATAGACATATGGTGCTTCGATGAGGAGGCTGACATTGTACGTTTGGTAGTCGCATCTGATATAAGCACAAAGACTTTGGTTTTGAGTGATATCCAACCGCCGCCCATATGTCGCTACATGAAAATCACAATAATAGGACGCATTGGCATGTCCGCTACGAAATGTAAAATTCCAATTGGATCATTTTTTGGACATGCCGTTGTTTTAGAACATGACGGTTACGGCGATTCGTTACTACGTTTTATGAAGCAACCCACCCAAAGTATACAAGGTCAGATAAAGGCGCTGACGTCATTATATGAAGATGTGCATTGCCGATATAGTTTGGCTAGTTGCAAGCTTATTGAGTTGCTAACACCAATTCTCAATAGCGAAATGTCAAATGTGGCCCATATGCAAGCTTTTATTCATAAACAACGTGAAGAAGACGCCAATGTGGTTGACAATAGTAAAGTGGTTGCCATTTACGAGGTATGTTTTATGCGACTGTTAATTAATTTTTATTATGTTGAATGCCTTAAATACTTTATAGGAATGCATTCTATTGCAACATCAAATAAATATTATACGAAATGTTATTGGTCGGTTGGAGAACTCTTTGCCAACAGCGGCATTCACTAATCTTACTGCAAAAGTACCCGCCAGTCCATTGACAAGCACGAATTTCAACAATATTCTGCAGGCTGCTTCCCGTGACAAGCTCCGAGTTTTAGGACAAAGTTTGGTCGAAATTTTATTGCATTTTTCCATCGAGTACGGCATAAAGGTAAAAGTTTACATAATATATAATTTTCAAAATATATTAAAAGTTCTTTTTTACATTATATTCGCTTGTAGAATATTTTACCAGTTCATCAGTTATTTACTATGGATGTTGCAAATATGCTTTTCAACTCCTTGGTAGTGTATGGTGATGCGCATATTCAATTGGCGACTTGCTCATTGTTGGTGCGCATGTGCTGTTTTCAAAGTTGGTGGGGCGATTTCTTAGCGGATATCTTTTGCAACTTGTTCTCTTCACAGAACAGTAAAATATTTCCACAAGATCGGTAAAATATGCAATGGAGAATAGTTTCTGTTACAAACATTTCCTTTACAATGTATTTATGTTTTATTGTAGCATATTCTTCCTATTGACATACTTGGGTAGACGTAGCATTGCAATGGGCACTTGCCGATCAATTGTAATCGACGCAGTGTTGAAAACACTAGCAAAACTGTTGGCACCAATATCACCCCGCTATCAGGAAAGAGAAGCAACTGCATCACAAATTGAAACAAATGATGGCAGTGCAGGCGCTAGTTCTGGTGGCTTGTGGTCGAAATCAGATTTGCAGTTAATAACATGGCTATTACTATTCTTATCTGTGTGCTTGGATGATAGTAATGAGCGCAAAGATAAATGTACGTTTCGGTTATATACAATGCATACATCAATTGCAATTAAAATATTTTATTTATATCTTACGTTATTTAGCATCGAGCCGATGGGACTTCATGAGCTGTGAGACTGATTTCACCAAGACACGTTCTCAATCTACAAATACATCTGGAAAACAATTGCGTTGCTTTAAGAAACGCATCGTACAACAAAATAAATACAGTGTACAACCTTATACAGATTGGGGTAAAAAAATATTTATGATCCAAAATGAGGTATATCACTTTTGATGTTTCATTGAATACTAATTCACTCATTACATACTGTTTATTTACCCTTTTATGATCACTGCCCACAGCACCCCGGTATTTTCATGGAAATGACGGGTAAACCAAAGCCAAGTAAAACCAACAAGGCCAACATTGCACCGAAAGTAGCAAAAGAGACTACGCAAGAACCTGAAAATAATTTTGACAAAGGTTTGAAAACGATTCGTTTGAATAATATATTGATCGTTATTCGTGGTCTAATTGCTTTATTGCTGGAAATGGATTTTACATGCAATATGGATCAATTTCTATTAACGTGCAAGGTGTGTATACACGTAGATGTTACAAATAGTTGCGAAGGGCTTGAAAAATGCGGTTAATAATGAAATTTTTATCATTTGCCTTTGTAGGTAATTGCTCGACTTGTGTCTGCCTGCCGTCCAGCAGTTCAGCTTTCGAAAATAATTACAACAACGCAATTGGAGCAACTCATTCGACAAGCGGTTTGGAATGACCAACAACAGCCTTGGGCTGTGCATGCGATTACATGTTTGTTGCAGGTAATATATTGAAAATTGCAAGGGTTTATTCCAAATCATCCTAGGGACACACATCTTGTTGAAGGAGATGTTTGTTATCAATATGGTGGCTGGCATGTTATGCTTTTGACAATTTTTGACTGCGCAGTTAGTCTTAACTTAAACTTGTTATATGACTATTAATTAGTATTAAAAAAATATTTCACGTGCACTGTTTAGGATCTACTTGATGCCGATAAACACTTCAAGGACAATGATGAGGGAATACAAGAAACAAAGGATATATTTTCTGATTATTGTAAGAGATTGAAATTATTTTCCTAATGTATGATATGAATAATCTGATATAATTTTCAGCAAACTACATGGCTATGAATTCTCAGCTACAATCGACCGGAAATGATATACAATATCCTGATGGTATATATTTAAATTGTAATGCTTTCAAGTTTCTGATAAATTTTTATTAGTAGGCGTAAAATATTCTTATCTGCCTTCGTTGATTGAGTGCGATGATACCGAATTCGATGATATATTCAATGACATTGACATTATCGAAAGATCCAAAACAGTTGCAAAGAAAGATAGCAATGCCATTAATAAGAATACTTTTAACTATTTCTGCAAATCCATATCCAGTGCTATGGATGCACGCTTAGATGTTGGCCTCGATATCAATGTGGAAATTCAGCTGCGCCGTTTAACCATGGTTTCATCGTTGGACATGTATTCATCTTTACCACAAATATTGGCAAATGAATTCATTACCACCCCGCCGGAAGCAACTGTTTGGCCAGAGTACATTACCGATATCTGGTCTAGTCCCGAGTATAGTGGTGACCAAAACACATACAAAATGTTTAAGAATGTTTTTGATTGCATTTTTGCACATTTACATTTACAAGTAAGTGTATGAATTTTGTGTTTGCTAAAAAATAGTATAACTTTATATTTATGTAGGACACATGGGTACATCTTGAGCAAGTTTTACAAATGTGGTTGACTCTGAACGGTGAACTGTCTGACAAACCGTATAATGCTGGTATCACACAAACCGATATACCCAAGATACCGTTTGGAGCTCATGCCGTGCAAGGACTCTTACTTGCATTGGCTTGGCATAACGACATTAAGCTTCGTACATGGTGTCTTGGTTTTCAATGTTTGTTTTTGGCGTGTAATTCGCAAGCTCTGGGTGATGACGACATCGATTCAACTCGAATTAATGAAGTTATTGTTAATGATGAAAACTTCGAGAAAATGCTATTACGTTTCTTTTCCGGTTATGGTATGAGCTCGTCCATTATCACTAATCGATGTGTAAGTCTACTTGCAGTTTGTTTCCAATTATTTAAAATATATTGATTCATTCATTCCTAAAGGCTGGTCCTACAATTTGCAAGAACTTGCATGAGCTACTGATGTGGTTGCATAAAAAGAGCGAAAGCAGTGCACTAACAGTCGTTTCGAACAGGCGTAAACTAAAAGACACATTACTACATGTAATACTGCAGTTGGTTCAACCGGGAGGTGCAATTGCCAATCAACAAGGTCCAATCGATGCTCAAAGTCAGTTGGTACGTGATCTGTTATTAATACCAACTGACAAACCCGATTTGAACGTGTCCTTAAATATAATCGAAAGTGTCTGTAAGTGTTTTTTTAAATCCATTGAAACTTGTTTAATTAAGTATTATAAATTAAGTAAACTATTTTATAATTTAAAGCTTTTTTGGTGTACAATAACATATCTAACGGCGACAAATTACAATGCCAACGTTCATCCGATTGTAATAATGCAACAAGTACATTCAGTAATCTTTTCGCAAATGTACTAGGGTCAGAGAACACTAAACAGAATACCACACTCTCTGATAACTCTCTCATAATTAGTTTATTGAAACTTTCATCATCATTGGCGGAAACGGAACTGCCGCGGCAACCTAGTGTATGTATTAAGCGTTATATTTTCATATCTTGTTCTCCAAATTATTTCGTTTCATAGGAGGTACCTATTCCTGAAGAAGAGGAATTGTCAAATGAAAGTCAAACTGACGAAACCAAAGCTGAGCAATTAAATATTGATGGACATCGTCCAAAAACTCCATGTATAGCTGATACAGGTGAGATTCATGTTTAAGATTTTATTTCATATACAATAATATTGTTTTTTCCTCTTTCTTTTGACAGTTTTGCGACATTTTCCTACAATGAAACGTATATTGGGTTCGTTATCACATTGCTCAAGTTCATCGTTTACAATAATGGCTTCGTCATCGAACTTTTTACTAGATGAACCACAAAGTACAGCTGATGCAGTTTTTAATTTACTCATTACTTTATATGATAAAGCGTCGAATCCGCGTCTCATTGTTGCTTCAATTTGTCAATATCTAGAATCCAGTATGTTAATGCATATAACTTACGAGATCTATCCGTTAATTTCCTTTAATCCTTTTACTTCAAAGGTACGATTCAACTCAATTCGTTTCCACGATTGCAGTTATCAGAGCCATTTTTATGGTATATTTCGAAAGTGTTAGAGGTTTCTTGGGCCGTGCAAATTTTCACTCAACTGGGAGGCATAAAAATAATATGCCAAAATTTGGTGCGACTGAATAAGATTCTTATTAACATGCAGCCTGGATTGGTAAGATTTTTTTTTTAAACAAATTGTAATTTATGTAAGTCAATTTGTTATGTATTTATTTTCGCATTTTTTCAGATTTCCTTAATTATGCAGCATATGACCAAAAATAGTAAATTGAAACTACACTCACGCGCTTGTGTAAACGGTAATAGCAAAAAAGGATCTTCTTCATCCAGTTCTTCTCAGAATCAACGTCATTTCCAAGATGGTCTAATCAATTTCGCACCATTTTGTACCATATCTGCTGAGCACGATACTGCACATTCAGCCGATATTTTAATTATGAATCCTGTGGCTTCACATAGGCGCCCTCGAACACCAGCTTGGAGTTATATGTTTTATCCTAACGAATCGCACGTTGATTTGACAATTACATTGCCGACAGCTATATTGTTGAAGGAAGTCCAACTACAGCCACATGCCCCAACTTTAGCGTCATGTCCATTCGCGGTGGCTTTAGAGATTTCACGTGATTACGGTTTGGGTCCGATTCCTGTAGGACCACCGCTGACTACCACGGGTATGACTTGCATACGATTGAAGTTGGCTAAGCCTGAAATAGCAACAAGTGTTGTACTACGTTTGTATAGGTATATTGATTTCATTTTAATGTTTATTTATTTAATTATACAAGAATTCTGTTTATTTTTTTTGTATTATTCGCTATAGGCCAAAGGACAGTTCTAACATTGGTCTGTCACAAATAGCCATATTGGGCAATACCATCTTTGCATTTAACTCCAATTCACTAAGTAATAGTGCAAGTGGAAGTAACGGCGTTGGTGGCGGTGTTGCCGGGAGTGGTATTTTCAATGTAGAACCAAATAATGATGAGGATTCTTTAGCAAAAACGAGTGTTGGTTGGATGCGTATACTCGCCCGTTGCTTTAAAGCACCAGCCATTTTATACGACGAAAAGTTGGCTGCGGATGTGATAGGAGCATCAGCAGCCTATCCAGGTTTTCTAGAAGCCTGTTGCTCTTTGATGAACATAATGCCCATGATACCAAATGCTGCATTACAAAATCTACATACCGTTCTGCTGAAACTGGGTGCCTATAATAGGAACTTATGCTTATCCATAATTCGAATATTGCTCTGGGGCACATCACCACAAAGTATGTGTTTTTTTACTACATCTTTTTATTTTTTATTTTTTTATTATATTTTATATACTAACCTCATTTGTGAAATTTCAATTTTCAGCGTATAAACTGTCAAACGAAAGCATTTGTAATCTTCTATATGAATTGGCTACAGCAAGAGATGATTATATTGTGGATAAAATTCAAGTACTGCTTGAGTGGATCATAAAGCTTAGGCAAAATTTCAGTAATCGCACGTTGCGCTGTAATAACCCCCAAAGTGGTTTCGTTAAATGTGTATCTTCCATTTTGTGGACGGTGCACACGGAAAACCATGTATCGAATTTACAAGAATTAATTACCAATGATTTATTTGATGCGTGTATGCATTGGATTGACACGTTGGAGAATGAAGAACCGCTGAAAGTTGCTTTTGATTCTTTGCTATGCTCTCTTTGTTGTATTAAACCAGAGCTTTTTAATCAGCTCATAGCTAAAGTCAATGTTAAAGTACAACAGAGTAATGAAATGGATAGCAACGGCTCTAGCACGAGTTCATCAGTGGCTGCCCAGCCGAGCGTTCGGAATACTGGCATAAGTGGAGGATTGACTGATGATAATAAGGGTCAAAGCGGTAGTGTTTGGTTTGCCAGCGTTGCTGCAGATAATTTAACAACATTGTTACAGCGACCGACTTATTTAGCCACTTTGGCCATGGCTTGTCAATCTCCTTCCGCCGTATATCAACTGGTCGATTCTGGTTTGCCAAAGTTATTAGCGTATGCTTTGTATGAATATTGTAGTGCTTTATTATCGGATGTGAGAGGATGTGCTATGCAAGCGCCAGCAAGCACTTCAGCTGCGGGCACCGCAATGAACGCTTCAACATCTAGCTCCCCTGGTGCACAACCACCGCCAAGCACATCAAGTACATGCCTAACAGATGCTGATAAAGCAGAATGTGCAGATGATAAATATTCGGTGATGAATGAAGTATTTGCGCCGCTACTCAATTATAAACATGTACCGAAAATATTGGACTTTTTTACGGAATGCTGTGCCGAGGGTTATATGCGTGATTGGTTAGGTACACAGCAAGGTGCTATATTCTGGAAACCCCTGTTGGAATTATTATGCAATTATCGTCCCATGGAGTATGTTGGTGAGGATCCAATGCAGCAGGCTTTTATACGCATGGAGCGCGCTACCATAAACTTCTTTACGCGTGTTAGTGCATGTCATCCGAAAAATCAAGACACATTGACCGCACTATTGATCGCCGTAATTCGTAGACCCATGCAAGGACTTGTGAGCGGGAAAACCACAATATCTGGATTTACAAGACAAATCGTATTACAATTACTGTTAGAGAATGAGCGAATTTTAGTATCAGTACGCAGTAAACAACCATTGCAGAAACGAGATTCCTCTGCTTTGTCATGTGGGTCTACAACTAACACCACCTCTAACAGTAGTGTAACAATGTCTTTGGTTAATCACCATCCATCTAAGCGTGTTAACGCTCATCATTTGCTTTTTAGTGTGAGTGCAAATACGAAATGTCAGGAGATATTACAGAATTGTATTTCTGGTAAGTAAAAACTTAAGTAATCATTTCTATCATTCTAGACAAGTTTCATTTACATACTCATGTATAATATAAATTGCGTTTAAACTCAATAGCAGCCAACGGTGTATGCATATTTTTACATGGATACGATGGCAGGTGTAAATAGGCTGAAATAGAAATTCTATTCTTTTAACCGCTCTTTATTTGCCATGTTGACAGAGAATTAGTTATAAATACCACATCCTTGCTCTCTAAATATGAATGAAAGTTCTAACTCGTTTCCGAGTAAAATACTCAGAACTCGAAATTACTTAAAAAATAATCATAAAGGCAAAAAATTTCCCTAAAATAATTTGTTCTCCATTATTCAATAACTTTGCGTATTTCATATTTAACCTTGTGTATTTTATTTAATTCACAAACCGAATTCGAATTCGAACAGCCTGGATTTATGCATGATTAAGTGCTATTTTAATAATATTATAAAGGGGGAGCCAATGAATGTACATAAAAATTTTATTAAAAAATATCAACAAATAATAATTAGTATTTTAAATATTTTTTTTTTTATTGATTTTCTGCTAATATTGAATTTTTATCATTTTGCATTGTTTCATTTTTTAATTTTGTTTTCGACAATCTCATCACACAATTTCTTTGCACAATGCGTGATGTAGTCTACAGTATTTTATTTTCCTCCATGCTAGCAGAATCTCGATCGGGGGAAAACTGTGGTGGAGCTTCGAGTGGTGTGATAAACGTTAGTAATACCGGTAATAGTGAGGTTAACAGTAAACATGACACCGATAAGTCAAAATGCGATGTTTATGAAAGTATTCCGTTTAATTTCAATGGATTGGAAAATGGAATGGAGTTTTTAAGTGTGGCGGCTGGTGTCACAGCGAAGGATAAACGAATCAAAGATGTAAAAAATCAAGCTGCGGCAAATAAAGAAAACAAAGACTTGTTCCCTAATTTTCCAAGTATGTTTTACTGAATAGTAATGCTGATTTGATAGCATCTAGAATTAATTTATTTTTTAATTCTTCAGAATTCTTGAGCTTTGAAGATTTTTTGGGGCCGTCAAATAGTTCCAGCATTGGTAATTGCTCTCAACTAGTGCATCCGGATTGCCCAGAAGTTATGCTAACAAGTGATACGACGATTTCGCAAATACTCGCCACATTACATAATCGGGGACATTCTTTGTCAACACCCTGCATAACGCTGAATTTGGTTTGTTATTACCTTTGCATTGTATTTAGAAGTTGAGCATTGAATGAAATATTTATGTTACAGATGCCGGTCAAGTCTGATGCGAGAGAAGAGTCAGTGATTAAAGCATCTGATGTTGAACCTCTTTCTTCGCCATTGCAACGTTTCTCAACCCGAGGTGGTTTGTCATTGCTTGCCCAATATTTGCCCACTGTGTATCCAGACAGTGCAGGACGTAAAACACCTACCGCATTGCCCGAAAAAGAAAAGAGCCCACCAATGACGGACTGGGTTAAGCTTGAACCGAATGATGAAATATATGAGGATTTAGAAGATCCAATAACTGAAACAACTTCTAAACATACCACGATTACGTCTGTGCCGCAGCATTCCTTGGCCGCCTTTGGACTCTTTTTACGTTTGCCACCCTACTCAGATGTACTATTACGTGACAAAGTACGTGCTCAGTGTCTTTTAAGACTTGTTCTGGGTGTTACTGGTGACGGTGAAGGAAGTAAGTTGGTTTTGTTAAATGTTATTGATTGAATAAAATGACATTCTTTTTTTTTCAGATGATATATATAGTTTGTCCGTAGCACCTACACTTCCGACATTGCCGTTTGAGGTATTCCGGCAATTACTGGACAACTCACCGCTGACCACTGATGATGGTTTGCTGTTACGGCGTTTAGTTATAGAAGTGGGTGCAATGCATTTGGTTTTAAATTGCTTAGGTGTATTTACTCATCAATCGCAAAATTATCAAATCACAAGCCCCCAGAATGAGGTAAGTTATAGCTTTGATATAAAAAAATAAAAAGCGCTGATCGCCTTTAATTTAATATTTCCGCAACAGTCTTCTACAAGTGGTATTAGAACAACAACAACAACTAATAACGTCGATGACTCGTTGGGTACATCCGATGACAAAGGCCATATGTATTGGGCGAAAGGAACAGGTTTTGGTACTGGTTCAACTACGCAGTCTTGGAATGTGGAGCAAGCATTGTTGCGGCAAAAAAGCGAAGAAGAGCATGTAACAGTGTTATTACAGGTATGAATTTAAAATTTAATTAAACAAGATTTTCAATCTTTTAATATTTCATTTTTTTAGGTGCTTTCCAGTTATATAAATCCTGGAGACAGAATTCCCGCCGCATTACAATCGGATGAGATCATGTTATACCATGAAATAACCGAAGTACCCGGTGAACTGCCACCTTTATTTCTGGTATTACTGCAACAGTCATGCCTGATACCCGCCTTGAGTTCCTACTTGCGAAATGATTCCGTATTAGATATAACCAGGCACATTCCTCTTTATCGCGCCATATTACAACTGCTTAGGGCATTGTCTCTTTCACCGGAACTAGTATCACTGCTGCAGCCGCCGCCAAACAAAAGCGAAAGCTCACCAGCTATTGTTGAACTACTTTTAAATATGAAAACTTGCGTAGATACATACGCAAAACGCTTAAAGTAATTTTTGTTTCTTTTTTTTTATTAAAAGAAATAAATTTCTTACGCATTTCTTCGCTTTTAGGGTGAATAAGAAATCCAATATAAAGGGTCAAACACAGCAGGTGACTGTCAACATTGATGACGGAGATGACGAGGGTCTTGCATTACTCATACCCGATATACAGGAAACGACGGTACTGGTGCAAAAGACAACTAATGCGGATGCACTTGCCAACCAGCAACGCATAGATCGAGAAACAGGTGGAAGTAGCAGTGGTGCGAGTATTGAGCGAAAGCCTCAAAGTAAGTCAATAGAACAAAGATATTTGGAGGTAATGAAGAAACTCCAATTCGACACTGCGGAAATGATTGTGGAAGCAGAAAATAATGGCTTCCGTTTCGCCATTTCACATCATTTTGAAAAGATGGTGCGAATGGCTGGTGATCGTTATCACCCATCTCGGGTGAAGCGTCTCGCTCAGGAGGCTGTAACGCTCTCTACAAGTTTGCCATTGTCTTACAGTAGTTCCGTCTTTGTACGCTGTGATACCGACAGACTAGATATTATGAAAGTAAGTAAGCTGAGTTAACGAATTAAATATTTATTTGCTTTAGTTTGAATTCATTACATTATTAAAATAAGCCATAAAATATATAATAAATATTTAATTCCTAACTTTTAAGGTATTGATTACTGGCCCTGCAGACACGCCATATGCGAATGGTTGTTTTGAGTTTGATGTTTTCTTTCCGCCTGATTATCCAAATCTCCCAATGATGATAAATTTGGAAACAACGGGCCGTCATTCAGTGCGATTCAATCCTAATTTATACAATGACGGCAAAGTTTGCTTATCTGTTTTAAATACCTGGCATGGTCGCCCAGAAGAGAAGTGGAATGCGCAGACCTCCAGCTTTCTGCAAGTTCTAGTGTCCATTCAGTCATTAATTTTAGTGCCCGAACCATACTTTAACGAACCTGGATTTGAGCGTAGCCGAGGCACACCGAGTGGCACACATTCATCGCGTGAATACAATAGCAACATTTATCAAGCGTGCGTACGATGGGCTATGCTGGAGCAGATACGTAATCCCAGTCCTTGTTTCAAAGATGTAATTTTTTTATTTGTAATTATCTACTTGCCGTATCGCTAAACTAGAATTTTTCAGGTAATTCATACTCATTTTTGGCTCAAACGCAATGAAATATGCGCGCAAATTGAAAGTTGGATTGAGGAGCTAAGCAAACCGCAATATAGTGAACGAAATAGTCGTACCATATCATTTAATTCCATGGTATTACGTCGCCAATATCGTCACTTACGTGAAGAGCTTGCAAAACTCAAAGTGCCGGAGGGTTTGGAGGATCTCGATACACCTTTCAATCCGAACGTTAACCTGCCTGCAATGGCTGAAACTACCAGTGCGACTAATGTAACTAACACTACGACGACTACAACTGCTGTAGCATTAACAAACCCAACCATTTCCAATGTAGTGATTGATCTTATGGATAGAAATACGATTGAAAACTGGAATGGAAACCTTAGCTGTACTGAAACTGCTGGAAATGAAGATAATATTGTAAACGAAAACAGCGGCAGTGACAACTCTATTACGCCTACCCCCGCTGGTAGTAGTAGTAGTAGTAGCAATAGTAGCAATACGATTGCCACACAAATGTCTGCACCAGATGCATCTGTTATTAATGAGCAGCATAATATTCCAAATCAGTCCACATCTTCATCTGCATCTACGACACCCATAGGTCTGACTACATTATTGCGGCAAAGTATGCCAGTGTCAATGTTGGTTGACGTCAGTAATGATTTCAATGATATGAGCGATGCGACCATGATAATACCGCCTCAGCCGGCAGTTCCGTCTCCGGTTACGGCCAAAGTAACCACCGTTGAAGTGGCATCAACACAAGCTAGTGAAAATGACGAAGCCAATGACGAGATTCAGATCGATTCCAACGAATATGACTACAATGCCGATCTGGTGCAATCTCTATTTTTCAACGATGATTCACAATTTGATAATTCCATGGAATAGACTCGAGAACTATTTAGCGGAAGTTAGAGGATGCATGGCTCATATTTGTAGTTGTGGTAGCAACGCCCAATGTATGTGCTTTATTTGAAATCAATTTTTAAGTATGTGTGTGTGTTATCCAATTATTTCTACTATTATTAATTTTATTAAATCACTTTTATAAAATCAAATAAAACAGAAATCTTTTGTTTATATATAATTGTGCGGTTTTAGCAATTTGTTGCAAACAAATGAATTGTCTCTTTTACTTTAAATAAACTGTATTCAATCAATCCCTAAAACACTTAAATTTAATTTGATGTTAGAAGCCCCAAACATGAAAATGATCAATCAAATTGCTGTAGTCATCTTAACTAAAGGGGAACCACTTGGCATAGGCACCCCATTAGCGATTATAATCTAATCAGGAATAGTGCGCCATCCGTTTATTTTCGCTGTTTGCCGCCCATTGGACATAACAAATGAAACCCGCTCGCTGTCCATTGATCGTTCCAACCGATTGGCAGGCGAGGCTATTCTAAGTTACCAAGCCCTCCATGAAACGAGCTGTTTCGATGGGTCCGGGCCAGAAGAGGATTAGACGAGTAGGTTTTAAGAGGCATTAAAAGAGGTGTTAGTGTCAGGCGGCGTTTCATTGCATGCAGGACAGACATTGTGTACAGTATGGATAAGCAGAAATTAAGTCGACTGTAATGTCCAAATCTTAATTGTGCCAGTATTACTCTTCCGGCGATGGCATTCCGCAGAAATTGTTTACAAAGCTTGCATTATAATGCTCTAGGGAAATCAGGAGGTTTCCTTTCACAGTTCAAAGGGAGATGTTCTGACATACTTGCAGCTTCTTCATATGCGTCTTGTTAGTCCCCGGCGTCTAAATCGGATCAGTGAAGTTTACGAATGACTGGCTAACTAACTTGTATGTTGCGAGCAACGTTTCCTTGTTTATTCCTCAGACTGTCGACTAACGATTTGATGATTTTGTGGCGGCTCTATACTTTTGTGGCAATTACAGTCACATGTAGAAGGATGGGATGGAGCCTGTCGAATGGACTCCCAGAAACTTTGAGTTGTTAGTTGTCGGAATTTATACGTCATCGACTTACACATCGAGTTCGGGACGGTAATTCTTCGTCCAGCTGTGCAGCGAGCAGTCGTTGGCGTAAGAGACCAATCAATTGCCCTCGAGAGATATATAGAATTTTATAGAACCGGAAAGAGGACATCATAATGACCTTTGCTTAATCTTATGGAGTTTTGAAGTTTGATCTCGAAACTTTACCGATGGCAGTCGATCACTCAGGTAATCCATATTCCACCTCTTAAGACCCGGCGGTCATAAGGAATCTTCAGTAACCGATAATAGCACTGAATGGTTGTCAAGGTCAAAGGCTTTATACAGATTCAGTGTTACCAGGGCGGTTCACACGCAGAGTCCGTTTTTTGTTAAGGCCGTGGTTCTTATTGTGCACTTTACGAAAGCCATGTTGATGTGCCGTGTGAAGGATAGGATCAGCAAGGCGTCAATTGTCTTCGCAACTGGAGAAAAGAGAGACACCGGTGGATATGATTCTCCCTTGCTTGCTGATTTCCCCGCTTTAAGTAGCGGGACCATGCTTTCCACATATAGGGTATTATTAGGGTGATGTGTGTGTCTAGGGTGTTGATGCTGTAGTTCTTGCTGGATCGGCGGTGCGCATGCCAGAGCACAATCGAAAATGACACCAGTCAGAGCGAGCATTGGACTTGACAGATGTCAGGTACCGATACAATACACACGGCACAGACAGTGCGAGACACTAGCAATTGCTGCTTCGTCCCCGTACGGGAAGTAGAGCTAGAATAAGAAGCTTCATCATAGTCGGGCATTGGAGCATCTTTTTTCGCATCATAGACTGGAAATTCCGGTTCATCTTCTCTGGGGGTTACGCTATAGAAACTTGATATATTCTGGTCATCGGTCATTAGATAACCTCCCAGGTTTCTGCAAGAGTATGCTTCGGTCTTAAAACCTTCTGTAAGTAGTTTGATTTCTCTCCACTGCAGTTCGGCATTCCTATCGAAACAGCTCTCTATCTGGTATTGTTGAAAACGCATTGTTTCTGTAGCGAAAGTACGTAGGAGTTTTGAGAAGTTTTTCCATAGTTCCCTTATATCGAGTATGAGTTCTCTTAGACAGCAGAATTTAACAGCATGGCGGGATAAGCGCTCATAGGTGCCTTCTAGGCACCATCTTTGGTTACATCGTCCGTTTCTTTCGTCAAGTGGTGGAGAAACCAGCGATGAGCTTAATAACTTCGCCTCTATGCGGATTGTAAAGAGCCATTCACTGGGTGAGTCTCGGGGCTATGTCAGAGTTTCACTTCCACTGCAAATCTAACACCAAATTTGCGCTGCTTTATAAGGCCGCTATAACCGATTTCACAAGAACCTTCGTCCTTGCTCCGTCCACCGCACTTCTTGGAGGGTGGTGATGTTAGTTTTAGTCAGCTGAGCAGTGATAACTTCCTTGGCTAAATAACTGGACATTTGTGGTACCTGTTCCTTAATTATCAAAAGTTGGATCTCTAATCAAAGTCTTATTGCTTCTATATTTCATTGGAGAAGCTTTTTCTGTAATAGGTTCCATAGCCTACGCATAACCACAGAGAGTTCGCCTGTTCACTTTAACTCGTCCACAAATTACTCAGAGGATAAAAGGTGCATGATCGGGAGTAATGAGTTGCATGAACCTAAGTAAAATAATCGTGTCCGGCCACGCTTAGCTGAATGTTAGGCAAAAAATTTTTCTTACTTCTCGCGTGGATTTCAACACGAGCCCACATTCTCCTGCATGGGCGGTAGAGGTTAATTTGCTTGAAATCGAAGCAGTCAAGACCGAGTTAATAACTCTACGATATAACTGCAAAATTCGTCCGAATGAAGAATATCTGAATATTTTTTCAAAAGATGTAGTTTAATTATCGATTGTTTTTGTATCATTTTCTATACAAACAGGAATTGATCGTCGGCAAGTTTGAAATTTCTTTCGCTAAGAGGCAGGTGTAGTCGGTTAATAAAAGTACCCAAATAATTCATCTACTTGTTGTCCTTGTTCTTCTGATAAATTATCTTTTTGTTTATTAACGTAGGCACCACTTACGCGTTCGTAACTTCACCAGGAATAACACACAGAGCCCGACTGTCAGCTTTAGCGCGATAAAGAGTCGACACGAACAGCAGGGCGCCGATAGGAAGAACGCCAGTGTTAACACCAGAGAACCCTTCTTACTCTACGGACTTTTGAATTGACTTTTGAACTTCAGCCTTCCTTCAGCTTTCCACATCGTTTACACACAGTTCAAAACAAATTGGTTTCTCGAGCGTTTCACACAGATGGGGTTTTATATCTTTTGCAAACTTCGAGAACCATTTACCCTGTTTCGATTTTTCCTTTATCTCCAGAATCGCAGCAAAACGCTTTCCTTTGGCATGAATGGGCTTTGGTTTCAATGTCATAATCATACACCCATGATTCCTCATCAGTTATAACCTTTTTGAAGTAATCTGGATTGTCGTTCATGGTGTTCAACATATCCTGTTCTTCTCAAAATTTAGCAATTTTGGCACAATCTTCGCTGCCGCAAGTTTCATGTCTAAAACATCTGTAAAAATTGCTTGACATGAGCCGAACGATATGCCAATAGTATCAGCAGCTTCCCTGATGGTGATTCGACGATTATCTAAAATCATTTTCTTCACTGCTTCAATGTTTTATCGGTTGTTGGCATGGTCGGATGACCTGGACGACCATTCTCATTGACATATTCAACAACTGAACTGAACTTGTATTCTCCCTATAGTAGACTCGCCAAACGCCACGGTCAACATTTCAAATGTCCTTGCGCATTTAATTTAATTTTTTACACAAAACTCAATACAGTTTTTTTGATCCATTTTTTCGAATAGTAAACAATCGAAGAGCACACCAAAACACGACCAACCTTTTTATCCGTCAAAAACAAACTGATAATACAAAATGGCTAATATCGCCAACATACATGTATATAACAGACATGTGTACCACCACAACAACAAAAAAGCGAAAATCGAACATACGTTACCCCGAAATTTGAAAATAACGGATTTTTTCTGATCACACCTCATAACTTGTGTAAAGAGTCTAAGTCTTAAGTATCGGTAGAAATATATTATACTTTCTTGTCTAAGCCGTTTCAACCCAACTCTTTCGAATCCGAACTAAATTGAAGAATAACTTTTGCCAACAGCTGCATGTGGACCTCTTTTCTAAGAGGTGCATAAGCATGGACGATGGGCTTGGAGCTTTCTAGAGAAAGGTTTTGCGAAAGATTCATAGACTTACTATGCACATTGTCAACGGAGAATTCCACAGACGATGGGACGTTGAGTTATGCGAGATATACGACGATTAAAAAAAAAGTTCGGTAAGCTATTCAATTTGTTTTTGTGTTAAGTTTAAAAATGCCAAATCCTTTGCAATTACTTTATTAGTCTTAATTTCAAGTTTTAGAACTATCGGCTGAAATGGAGACGAGAAAACGCAAGATAGCTGAGGATAGTTCACACGAAATTCGACCACCAACCCAAGCAAAAATTCGCCCATGTGATTCTCTTCGGGTTTCGGCGTAATTTCCAGTCAACACAAATATTCAGTGAATGCCAAATAGCATATGGAACGATTGCACCGTCTTTAAATACTACTTCTAAGTGATTCCGAAGGTTCCAGACCGGACATTTTTCCGTAGAGGACGAGCCCCGAGAAGGTCGACCAAAATCTTCCAATGATGACGTCACTGTAGCTCTGCTGAAGTCCAAAATGGACGAAGACTAGCGAATGACCCAAGATATTCCTAATGAATTGGGCTTGAATGCCTTAGCAGTACCGCGAATACTAAGTAATCATCTGGGATTCAGCAGGGTTAAGAAATGCATTGAAACAGTGGTGATTTTACACAGAAAATAAAAAATGACAATGAATAGAGAAATAATTTTTTTTTCTGGCCAGCTTACCGAACTTTTGTTAATTCCCTGCCGAGAGGCGACCGCAATTAGAAAATTTAACTTAATTTTTTATTAAAATTAATTTTCCATAACTTTTTGATGTTGGTAACACTGAGATTTGAACTCGAGCCTTACGAATGTCAGTATCCGGCTAGCTGCGGCCGCCGAACTTTTGTTAATCCCCTGGTATAAATGGTGCTTTTTAACCACTGAAGGGTTTACGGCTTCTCCAATATGTGGTATGCCGCCACGGAACGGCCAAATTATTTTTATTAGGTGTTTTAATTTCATGTCAGAAATACACTCCGGGGGGATTTTGGATGTTGAGTTTCCGAATGTTATTCACTCGGCTACTGCGGCTTCACTTGGTGCCTTCAACAGTGTGGGGAAGAAACCAATTGCACGCTATTGTTGGCGCCAGGGCCGCCGAGAGAAAATCGGGGTCCTGGGATAATTCAAATGCGGGCCCCCAACACCTTAATTTCATGATCTACACTGCAGATCAACGAGTTGGGGATTAAGATAGAATAGAACTTGAATAAAAATGAAAATGAATGAGTAATTTGGAACAATTTTTGTTTAAACAATTTTATTACCATAGTTTGCATCACAATAGTATTTTAATAGGAAGCAACCCTCAAAAATATGCCTTCCTTGCTTTAGCTGATGCAAATTCCTCAATGATAATAACGATGTCAAGTTTTCTAGCTGATTGAGATTCCAAACATAATGTTGCCAGTCCTGAGACTCGAGAACGATGATAGTTCTTTATTCTTGAAATGATCGCTCGGCGCTAGCAACTGAGACTGGCAACAGTATATCGAAATTTTTGGTGGTGATAGCATTCAACAAAACGAATGGAGACAAATGAGTTGTACTACTCTCAGCAAAATTAGCCTGATAAACGTTTTTTAAGTGAATGATTTCGCACGATATTTCGATTGACACATCAGCAGGGTACGTAGCTCAGCAGTCTGAACTTCTTTTACTTCCGTTTTCGGAAACAACCACAAGAATGAAAACATGTTGTTGAATGCTCCTTGAGAATAGAATGATGTGAGGGTTTTTTGACCTTTTTGAGCATCTTCAAATTTTTGCTCTCGGGGCTTTTTCCTTGCGCTTCTGACGTCCGGACTTGTGATGATACATTTTCCTATGAATTTAACATATAATAGTTAGAAGTATTCGTTGAGTACTTTTAACTGAAGTGAAAGACAAGTGAGTTCCATAAATTTTCGATTTGACGGCCATATACTTCAGAATAGGGTACAATTGATGTGGATATGAATTTACATTCAAACATTAAAAAAGTAAAAAACAAGAATAAACAATTTTTTTTGAAATGCAATCAAAGAGGGCGGAGGGGGGCGGAGTTTGAAGTCAGACACAGACCAAAGAAGAAAAGTTTGTCAAAATATGATGGAAAACATGTCAAACCGTATATACATGGAACTCTCATGTACGACAGCATACTACTAACTCACTCACCTATTTGTTTGAAAACTCTTGAATCTCTGAATTGGGTTGTCACAATATCCACGTTTGATACATTAGCTTTATTTTTATTCAACTGTACTAAGTGAGATAAAATATTTTCCAATTTACAAAAGTGAAGTTGTTTTAGGTAGACTTCATTTTTTTCCACAAGTTATAGCTCTATGTAAGACTTTTCACCGATGATAGCCTGAAAATTTGATCTTTCTCATACAAAACTAAATCTTACTGCAATGACTGTAAGATAAGAACATGCGTCACATACACACATCATATGTGAAGTAACAAAATTACTGATTTTTTTCAGACGCGTAGAATTAGTATCGCAATCCTTGAAAATCTGTAGTCAGTTACGTCAAAGATATTCTAGACGCAAATTATTCTATATACGACAATGAAAACACCGGGCCCCCTTGCAATCTACGGGTCCGGGGGGAAAAGTCCCCGATACCCCTCCCTCTCGTTGGGTCTGGTTGGCGCCATTATAATCGCGTAAGGGGTATATTCACAAATCAAGAACAAGAAGAAGACGTAAACTCACATGTCTTGCCATCTTTCTATAGATGAAATAATCGTTAAATAATCGTTAACAACGAAAAACATCATATAACATCTTATCTAGAGGTTTTTTTTGTAAGAATTTTAGTGAAAATATTTAATTAGCTAAGGAATATGGAGAGTGATATTCTTGCCTCTTGCGCTTTTATTTTTTGTATTATTAATTGGCTACTATTGCTGAGGGCTACACAACTGATATAAAACAAAAGTAAAGGAAAACCTACAATGTGGGAAGACAGGTTTGTTCATTTTTAAATGACTGCAATACAATTAAAATAAAAAATTACATCCCTCCGAGTGTATATCGGACATGAAATAAGGGCTCCTCACAAAAAAACCATCAGCCGTTCGGAGGTGGCTTAGAGTAAACTGTAGGTCTCTCCATTTGTTGGAAAGACATCAAGACGCAAAATCACAAAGCACACACAGGAGGAGCTTGGTCGAAAAATTGCTGCAACGATTACAAAGCGCTAAAAAAAATTATAATACAATACAATTTTACAGTACAGACTACAATTATTCACCTAATAGTGATAATCACGAAAACTAACAGTACTATAATGAAAAGTTCACGCTAACGTTAAATTCAAAAGTGCAAACGAATGAATGTGTGCAAATATGTTTTCACCCATTACTGTTTTATATTTAGCAAATTATGGTAAAATATTTATTTAAAAGAAATTACTACTTTATCTATGTGCCTACTTATATACACGTCCATACATGTACATCCATACATACATATGTACGTGTATGTGCTTGCAAACCCTATTTCTTTGCTGTTGTATCAATGGCACTGCTAATTTGATTTTTTTCTACTCTCACACTAATGTTGTTGTTGTTCTAATGAAGGTAAAGGAATTAAAAATCGTACAATCACTCTCAGCACAGTACTTTGATATATTGCGATAAATCGGCAGCGTAGTATTATTTATGGGGAGATGGAAGATTTAAAATCGCGACCGACTCTCATTCTGCGAAGAAACGCAGACGCTGGCGGAACACATCGGTTGAGGGTAGCGCTTTGTTATCGAATATAAAATATTATAGTTAAGTCCGTTACTTTTGAGTGTCCTATACGGTTGTGATTAAAGTGAAAACAAAAGAAGCACTGCGTGTCCAAAAACTTTTCCGATTCGGCAGAATGGAGTTGACAAATGTGAAAATTGATGGTGATGTTGTAAGAAATTAAGAAATTAAACGTGTTCTTCTTATGAGTATAAAATATTTAAAAAACTCTGTAAATAATGTATGCATGTATTCGTATATTCGTACATATGTATATGACTTCAAAATAATAAAATAAAAATTTTTTTCGTGCCTACAAATAGTGTAATAAAGATATTAATCAACTTTTTATTGCTGATAAATTAAAGACCTTTTTGAAGCTTCTTTCATTTTAAGCGAAATGAAACCAATCTCTGATGTAAATAAACTAAATTAATTGCCTCGCTGTACGCAAATAAGTTTGATTGCGATGTTTATATGCATTTTTATTTTCAGTCAAGTAAAATACTTACCAAAGGCTGCTATTTTACTTGCTGCGTATTCCATTTAAACATTTTCGTTGTAGTACTAAAATATATTTAATAATACCGTGTAAAAAGTAAACTTACTTTTTGTGAATTGATAATTTTGTGGCTTAAATAAATTTGGCTATCTACGACTTATCTACATACGCGGTGTGTCCCAAAAATAACCGAACTTTTTGGGTATAATATAAAATACACATTATATTATCTTTGAAAGTTATTATTTATTCAAAATAGGTTCCATTTGACTCAACACAACGTTTGGAACGATCAACCAGCGCATGCATAGATTTTTTTATGTCATTTATAGAAATGTTCTTCAGTACCTCGGTTACGGCTGCTTGAATGGCTGGGATATCATCATAAAATGCTCCCTTCATCTTGGTTTTCAGTTTTGGAAATAAAAAATAGTCACATGGTGATAGATCAGGCGAATACGGAGGATGGTCGATGAGAGAAATCCCTTTTTTCATTAAAAATTCGAGCGATTTTTTGGTCGTCATTTAATTCATGTGGAACAAATCGCGCACAGACCTTTCTTTTCCCCAAATCTTCAGTTAAAATTCTCCAAATAGTGTTTTTACTCGTATTCAATTCCTCAGCCAACATTCTCGTAGTAAAATTTGCATCGATACCAATGATTTCACGTACTTTTTCCACCAGTTCAGCACGATTACTAGTTTCTGGTCGTCGTGGTCTAGGGTCGTCATTTAAATCCTCACGACCATTTTAAAATCGTGTAAACCACGTATAAACTTGCGTACGACTCATACAATCATCACAATAAACTTTTTTCATTATTTTTTTTCAAGTTTCACACAAAATTTGAAATTTGCTCTTTGTTCCATTTTATTTTTGAAGCATTAGCACACTTTTGGTTTTATTGAAATGGCTGTCACTTTTACATCTGTCATCCGACTTACATGATGTTAGTTGCGTTTGAAAGCGGATGAATGTATCTTAATGTTGCAAATTTTCAATAGATAGCGCTGTATGTTGAATGATTTAAATATAAAGTTCGGTTATTTTTAGGACACACCGTGTATGTATGTTAATAGTGTACATTGGCCGACGAAGTCTGCGCAATCGTACCGTTTCGTTTCAAACATAAATTAAAGCGCTACCTTACCATTGACAGCATGAAGCTGTTGGGGATTATCTTACTCGTATAAGGAGCATATCATAATTTTTCTCGAAAAATATAACTTTTCCAGCATACGCTGTCATAAAATGATTATTTTCCTACTGTCTACAGTTTTACTACCTTATATTTGCGATTGGCTATCAATTTTGTGGAAAATTGTATTTATAAAACTAATTTGTTGTTTGGTAACAGCCACTAAAAAGCAATTCAATTTAAATATTAATTATATGAGAAATTGAGCAAGTTATTGGTGTTTCCAATTGGTTGGTTACATTTCGTAACACTGTTTTGAATTTTCTTTCAAACGACAACAATTGTTGTACATTCATACATTTCATTAGGAGATTGAATCAATTGATTTGAAGAAAGCTTCGGGACACTTCAAACGAAAACAATTAAGAAAGCCTCTTTTTTTTGCGCTGGTACTTTTCTAATGTAATATTCCATAGATTATTTAAAATTAAAAGTGATGTGTTTGAGTGAAACAAAGTATTAGGGGATGTCCATTATTTATATTCATATTAATGAAAATGTTTACTTGGAATTTTGTTACTTGATTAATATATATAATATACAATATATGTATATAATTTGTGCTTTATAAAAATGTGATTTTCGACCGAGGAGATTGGATCCAATTTGCTGTGAGCGTCTAATTCTAAGCCGCCTCCGAACAGTTGATGGATTTTTAGTCGTTCAGTTTAATAAAGATTCAGACTAAGTATTGGAAGCATAAATGCCATGATCGGCAATTTTTCAAAAAAAAAAAAAAAAAAACATGAGCTATATGATAGTAGCTATTTAATCGGGATATATAAGGTTCTCAAATATCTCCATTCCTTTTTTTTGTCTTTTGAATTTCGCGGCTATGTACAAAACGCTACAGAGCTCGTATCTGGCAACACTATACATAATTTGAAAGGTCTTGACATAACCTACAAAACAACGCTATGCATGATTAGTTTGGATATGCGTTCAACAGTTAAAGACGTGTAAACATGGAGTTCACTAACGCCGAAATTCGCGCTATTTTAAAGTTTTCCTTCGTTAAAGGCAAATCCGCTAGAGAAACGTTCCGTGAGATTAATGGTGTTTAGGGGGATGGTACTCTATCACTTCGAACCGCGGAGGAATGGTTTCGACGATTCAGAGCCGGTGAAAACGACACCATGGATAAGCCAGCCGGCGGAAGACCTGTGACGACAAATACCGATCAAATCATGGAATACATCGAGTTAGACCGGCATATGGCATCTCGTGACATCGCCCAGGAGATGGGAGTTAGTCACCAAACCATTTTGAACCATCTGCAGAAGGCTGGATACAAAAAAAAGTTTGATGTTTGGGTGCCGCATAATTTGACGCAAAAAAACCTTCTGGACCGAATCAACGCCTGCGATATGCTGCTGAAACGGAACGAACTCGACCCATTCTTGAAGCGGATGGTGACTGGCGACGAAAAATGGATCACATACGACAATATCAAGCGAAAACGGTCGTGGTCGAAGGCCGGTGAATCGTCCCAAACAGTGGCCAAGCCGGGATTGACGGCCAGGAAGGTTTTGCTGTGTGTTTGGTGGGATTGGAAGGGAATCATCCACTATGAGCTGCTCCCATATGGCCAGACGCTTAATTCTACCATCTACTGCGAACAACTGGACCGCTTGAAGCAGGCGATCGACCAGAAGCGTCCAGAATTGGCCAACAGGAAGGGTGTAGTGTTCCACCAGGACAACGCCAGACCACACACTTCGTTGATGACTCGTCAGAAGCTACGGGAGCTCGGATGGGAGGTTTTATCGCATCCACCATATAGCCCGGACGTAGCGCCAAGTGATTACCACCTGTTCCTGTCCATGGCGAATGCCCTTGGTGGTGTGAAGTTGAACTCAAAAGAGGCTTGTGAAAAGTGGCTGTCCGAATTCTTCGCAAATAAGGAGGGGGGCTTCTACGAGGAAGGTATTATGAAGTTGCCGTCTAGATGGAAACAGATCATCGAACAAAACGGCGCATATTTTAACTAAATCCGATCACTGTAACATTTTTTATAAAGCATTGAAGCAAAGCATTGAGCAAAAAAGCGGAGGGGAGATATTTGACAACCTGATATAATATAATATATTGAAGTTTGTGTATGTAATTGGCTAGCATTTGAAGAAAAACTCAACTTTTGACCAAACAAGTCTTAATTGTTTATGGCAATTGATAATTTAATTTTCTCGATCTTCACTACGCGTTTTTCTTTGGAATCTCTTTGCATCATATATGTACTATATGTATGTACAATATAAAGATTTAATTTCCGTTTTTCTTCTGGTGTTCTCCAAAAGTAAATGACCGATTGGCTTGAAATTTTTTCAGATTGTTTCTATGGTCTTTGGGAAGGTTTGTTAGATGGTGTTTTACGTTAAAATACTATTAATAGTTAGATTAACAATATAATAAAAAAATACTTAATATTTCACTTACATAGATGCAGACGCTTAGAGGTTTTTATTGTTCTTTGCGATAGCAATTGGCATAGAAATTTTACAGTATGAAAAAACAGTATTAAAGTATTGAAAATTATTTGAGTTATGCTGCATGCCGATATCAATGAACGCGTTTTGAAAAAAACTGTTTAAAACCTTTTGCCTTTTATTCTAAAAGGCTTAAACAATTTTTGAAGCTAATAAAAAATATTTATTTTTTTAATATCTATCAATGTCCGCTTGTTGTCATAATTCTACATACAAAATTTTAAGTTTTGGTGATTATGCAAGTGGTCATAAGGTCATTAAATTCTATAACAAATCTTCATATTGAGATATGTAAATTTTATCCCTACATTTCTACATACAACTTATTCGCCGGAGTTAGCACCATGTGACTTCTGGTTATTCCAAAAACTCAAGAGACCCTTTTCGAGGACAACGTTTTGAGTCGATTGAGGAAATTAAATTTGAATCGGCGCGCTCTCTGAAGGCCGTACCAGAACGTGACTATTTGACATGCTTCGATAATTGGAAAAAGCGTTGGCATAAGTGCACTGCATCCGTAGGGGACTATTTTGAAGCCGACGAAATCGATGTAGAAGAATAAAAAATATTTATAATTAAATAAACAAATTCGCGTTACTGTTTGCTCAAATTGTAATGAGTTTTATCGCTAAAAACTCCAAATTATCTTCATATAATCTTATATCAAAATACATATACGACAATTCCCCCCTTTAAAATGGCAGAAAACTCTGGCTGTTTAGAAATAATTTGCAAATTGATCTGACTCGATATTATTACGGCCTGTATTGGACTGTTGCCCTTTCTTTCACCACATCCGCTAGTAATTGTCAATGTAGGTCATTTATTTATTATATCCTTTCTAAAATATAAATATTTAATCAGAATTCGTTCACATAATAACTGGTTGTATATTGCTTTTAAATAGAATTTTCTAATAATTAAAATTCGAGAATACTGAATAATGTAATAATAAATAATAATATAATCTAAGCAAAGTTATTCT